AGAGAGTATGTCCTTTTGCCTCTCTGAGTGTGACCTAGCATGGCTGGGTCAGTAGAAGTGGGGTTAGGGTGAGGGTTGGAGCCAATAGGCAGGGGCGCCTGGAGAGTGTGTGTCAGAGGGCAGTGTGTAATTGAGTGTGTGTGTGGGTCTGTGTGTGTGTGTAATTAGAAGTGTGTTTGAGAGAGTGGTGTGTAATCAGGAGTCAGAGGTCACCTTCTGTCTAGTCCCTCCTACTTTACAGCTACAGCACACCTTGAAGGAATACTTTGGGATTTTGGCAATGAGGTCCGTTATCTACTTCCCAATAGCCAGATGAACTTGTGGATACCCTTTTTATGTCTCTGTGTCCAGTATGAAGGAAGTTAGAGGTAGTTTTGTGGGCCAATGCTAACTAGCATGCTAGCAGATACCCATAGACTTCCAGTCATTGAGCTAACGCTAGTTAGCAATTGCGCTAGCGCTAGTTAACAACTTCCTTCAAACTGCACACAGAGACATAAAATTGGTATCCATGAGTTCATCGGACTCTGGGGAAGTAGATATAGGGCCTCATTGCACAGTTTAGCGAGCTGAGACTGAGCACCTCTCGTATTATTATGGTCTGGGGGTGGCAGGTAGCTTAGTGGTTAAGAGTGTTGTGCCAGTAACCGAAAGGTCGCTGGTTCTAATCCCCGAGCCGACTAGGTGAAAAATCTGTCGATGTGCCCTTGAGCAAGGCACTTAACCCTAATTGCTCATGTAAGTCGCTCTGGATAAGAGCGTCTGCTAAATGACTAAAATGTAAATGTAAATGTCTGTTTGCCTGGTTCATACCCCATTTCTATCGGCATGAGGAGGGAGACTCCTAAAACAAAGGCCAGGACCCACTCCCGTGCTATAGATGCTAAAACAATGGTGTTGCTGGTCGCTCATATGGAATAGGTATTACTAGCATGTGTTCAGTGAAAACACATATATCTGGGTGAACCCAACGGGGCTATGAAAGCACCCCTGGCTTTGAGACTGGGAATGGAGCTGCTGTCTGGGGCTCTCAATAAGTAGATGCCAGGGAGAGACCTCTCTCTCTCTCTCTCCTTCTCTCTCTCCAGATGGATAAACAGTTGAAAAGCACACCTAATGAGCAGGATGGCTGAGAAAGTCACTGGGGTTGGGTGACTGCAGGTCTATAGGCGATTTCAGAGTTAGATACTGTGAAACAGTTACTTTAATGTTGATACTTGAATTCATTGTCACATTTATGATTTAGCTTAGCTAGTTAAGCTCAATTGTTTTAGACCTGTTCTGTGGCACTGTTACCCTTGAACTTATGCTTTATTACTATAGCCTATAAGGTATTGTTTTAGGTTTTAACTATGATATTACATACCTAAGGGTTGAGAACAGCATGATGGCAGCTATGACTGACAAGAGGCTGCCATGCATATTATGACTTCTGATGACTTCTGTGGATGAAGAACATTTAGCACCTCTGATTGGCCATGATGATAAAACAAGTTTTAATGACCTGTTACCTCAGTCTACCAGCCTTGAATATCTATATCCTCTGTCAAATAGTCTGATGAATGTTTAAGTTCTCATGGAGTTTATGTTTTGTGTCAATTTCTCACGAGAAGAGAGCTGACATGATGATTAACAAGTGCCTAGTTCCTCTTGGGTGAACATGGTGTTTGTCTTTGTAAGAAAAACTGAGGGAAGACGTGTGTTTAGCAATGAAATATGTCAGGTCTTATGGGCCCCATAACACGTCCACTTTAAGTGATGAAAAGGAAAGTAGAGATAGTGGGAGAGAGAAGGGGGAGAGAGCAAAGGAGGGAAAAAGAGGTTGTGGGGAGAGTGAAGAGTAAGGGCGAATGTGGGGTGAGAGAGGTAGTGGGGCGGAGAGTGAAGAGGGATAGCAAAGGAGGAGAATGAAGGGGGTGAGATGTTGTGAGGGAGAGTGAAGAGGGAGCGAGAGAGAGATGTTGTGAAGGAGAGTGAAGAGGGAGAGAGAGAGAGATGTTGTGAGGGAGAGTGAAGAGGGAGAGAGAGAGAGGTGGTGGGGGAGGGATGGTGGTGGGGACCCCCACAGGGCTGCTGATGGATGTGGGACTCCTGGGGTTAAGGGGAGGGCAGGCAGGCCTTGTGCCGGGCTGCAGAGTGGCAGATACCTGCCGCTCATCTCACATACTCGTACACACACACAGACACACACACACACACACACACACACAGATAGAGAGAACAAGTAGACAATGCTAATGGGAGGGTGGGAAGGGAACATAAATACAAAGCAACTAGCAATGTGAAGCCTGACAGTTCAAGACCTAGGCCTAATACTCACAGATGAATACAGTTCAGCATGATGAAATTGCCATCAATGAGAGATCATCAAATACATAAACCCTTTCATTTTAACAGTCATTACACCTCTGTATAATATTGCTGACCATTCTTTAGGGTGATTTTAGAGACTAAAGACTGCTTTAGTTCAATAAATATCTGTTGTTGTTTACTAGGCCTACTATAATATTTTTGTATTGTACCAATGTGGTTGAGTAGACAGACATGGTGCCCCCTGGTGGTTCAGATGAGTAACTGCTGGCAGGGTGACAAGGACAAACGATGGTGTGATTTGTCAATGACAGAGTGTTGGGTCCAACCAATATATCGTGCTTCAATAGTCCTCCATGAAAATCAATAATATTTTAGTACGCACTCACTTGCATGATATGCGGCACCTGATTGAAAGAGGGATTGAAAACATTTGTAGTCTCTATGTAGTCCAAATCATCTGCTAAATGGCATATTATTATTTTTATTATTTTTGGCCTATTCAGTCTGTTTATTGGATTGGCTTACTCATCAGAACAGACAACACATAACATATCAATATTAGACACCAGTGCAATTCAATATCGAATGCATAAAATGCTTTTACTGTGGGCTATAAAGTTTGATTTTCATAATAACAGTTACAAAGATTTGACTGTAGCCAGGGGTAAAGTTAGGCTACTGGTAGGCCCTACACATTGATTTAACTCTTGGATACCATTTTTATGACTCTGCATCCAGTATGAAGGACCCAGCTTAGTGCAAAGACTGGAAGTCTTCAGGGTATAGGCTACCCCAAGACGTTCAGTCTTTGTGCTAAGCTAGGGCTAACCTTAGTTAGCATTGGCTTGGAAAACTACCCCTAACTTCCTTCATATTGGATGCAAAGACATTAAAATGGTATCAACAAGTTCATCTGATTGGAGAAGTAGGCTAGATAAAGGGCTTCATTGCCAAAATCCTGAACTATCCCTTTAAGGGAGCTTTGACGCTTCTCTTAACCCAAATAAATTAATTGAGTGATTAATTTGAAGACTTGGCCTCTAATGGCCCATTCACCCATTCTAGGTGAGAATGTCCTCTTGCACAAAATGTCCTCTCGTACAACGATGAATAATTGTTCTGTCTGATTTCTCTCATAATTAAGTGAGTTTTCGTTTAAGATGTCTGTTGCATTCGGGACAGTGTGACTGAATGATCAATTGGATAGTCTATTCAATAGGCTATCGTTTCAATTTGCAGTTATAATGTATGGTTACATTTTGCAAAGATATCTATGTAGCCTAATGTTTGTTTATCTACGCTAGTTTTCTTCGTTAAAATCCCCAATGTCCAAGAGCCCATGAGGAGCATCGGGTGAGAAGCAGCCGTTTAGGCAAGTGGAGATGAATGGTCTCCCTTTATCAAATGAAGGGAGGGGGTGTTTAAAAAACGTTAATCGCCTGTAATCCTGTTAATATGCCAGTCTCTCACTTTTCACCGGCAATACACAAGAGACACAGCTAAAAAGTCTGCACAGCTCATCCCAGTGACACATCCCAGTTTCATCCTAAAAACGAAAAACAGATCAAATCTAGGCATAATGTAGCTGTAAACTAGGCTATTGCATAACATTTGCATTGATGGGAAGAGGCTTTTGTCCTAAAATGGATAGCAATTATGTGTTTGAATTTTCTCTTTCAATTTGGAATATACTTTTTAGGATAATCTAGGAACGTTCCTTTAACTCTTATTTATTTAATTCATTCATTGGGTAGTTCGGCGCAGAAGCGTCATTGCGCGCTGGGTATGCAAGACTCCTGCTTCTCCGCAAGTGTTGACTTTTCCTCAGGTGAATATATGTTTTAAATGCAGGGGGAGGAGGGACGCTTTTGTTCTGCAGAAAAGGGGGCTTGTTCCTCGCATATCGCCCTTCCATTTTAACCAGGGGTGTGAGTGCGAACAAGGGGTTGACATTGGAGCCTGCGATGGGAGTAGAGGAGGGGAGACGGGAGTCGCCAGTCCTGCACTACCGAACACTGAAGCAACATCACCCGCTCTGAACGCACGGGACGCGCTCGGTATCCACCACGCAGAAGCCCGATATAAACTCTCTACAACAGGATAAACTGGACGATAGCGACTGAGGATTCTCTGAAGGAATTACAAAGATATAGCTATCTGCAGTGAATTAACTGTCATCTTCATTGGCATCGGATGACCTTGCATTTTTATCTTTATTATTAGGAAACTCATCCAGGGTGTTTTTTTGCCAAAACTTGAATGCACCTCTCTTCTAAGTAAGTGCACTTAAATGTTGCTAATCGAGAGGGCCGCCTAACAGACAGACAGTTGTTATCAATAATAAATTATCATTCATCATTATTATCAATCATCATTGTCACAGTTTCAGATTTTACTGTCAAGGTTGTCGATCAGTTGTGAGTGGCAGCCTTGCCAAAACAGGCTATGGACATTTATTTGACGTGAAATGTATCCCAATTTTGACCCCCCAAAAAATAGGCTTAATCACGTCTTCCACCATCTTTGATCGTTTTGGATTTTAATGAAGTCTTTGAAGAGCAACGACTTAATCAATTGCAACCGAAGCCAGTGTTTGACACAGTTAATCTTTACCAAATAACCTCGATTTTGGAACACTGCAAGCCCTGTGGTCTGTATTTATCGAAGGAACAATCAACACAATCAACATGCGACGCCTCCCATCCCGGTTGAGTTATCTGTGAGTATTTCCTGCGACTCTCATTTATACTTCTGTTGATTAATGTTTGATTAATGTGCCCTAATGTATTATAACTAATTTATTATTCTATTTTTCAGGTTCCTACACTTCTTCGCATTCTGCTACTATGCTCAGGTATGCTTTGAAATAGCCCATATATTTTGTATATCAGCAGGCATTGTGAAAATAATATAGTATTCTTGATTATGATTTTAAATATCTCACGCGTTTTCGAATCATTTACAAATAATTTACACTGTTCAGTCTATCAGTGGATTATTGGATACAACTGTACATCTCCTTAGATGACAAGTCATTATTTTACGCATCTTGAAAATTCGTATAACTAACCTAAATCAAATGTCACTGTTAAAACATATGGTTAGGTTTCTGGGGCTGAAAGCACGGTGTAATAATAGCGAGCAGTGAGGGAAAGAGAGATGAGAGATCATATAATTTGTGATATAACAACATATCAGATGGGTCCCACGGCGCAAGGGGCAGCGGGCGCGCTGCATGCCGCCCGCGTCACAGTTTGGCATGGTATATGTTGCGAACATACTGCCCTCGCGCAGGATGCGTGGGCATAGAATGGGCATCGTGTTGGGAAAGGCGAGTCTGTGAAAAATGTCGTGGGGTTTAAATATAAAGGCCAAAGTTTCGTCATCATTCCTTCATTGTCCTCCTTGAAACAGAACTAGGGCGTATGGCTAAGTGTCAAATAGGGAAGCTTTTAAGATAGACATTAATATGACCATTTGCTCCGTTTAATGTGAGGGAAATATTAAACAGTTATTATGTAGGCTATAGCCTATTTTATATGTTGGACATGTTTTTTAGCGTCTACTTCCACTCACTTTTCCCACAAGCTGTTGAGGCTTGCGCGCACTTTTTAATTTCTAGGTTTTCATGCTTTTAATTATGCATGCATAATTTAAGGAACTGCAGGCCTTTGTATTGGCGATAAATTGATATTGTCTATTGCATTTTATCAAGTTATGTGTTATAGACAATAATGGCATGTAGGCCTAAAGTTGGTTTTAGAGCTAAATAATTATGCTATTATTGCTTAATACATAGGCTACTGTAGTAACATTGAAGCAATTTTTGCAAATACTGATTGTGATGACATTTAATTTCTGACAGGTAACCAATCAGTCCCCGCCTAATTTCACGCAGCATGTAAGCGAGCAGAGCAAGGTGACGGACCGTGTGAGTCGCAGGTTAATTCGGACCTATCAACTTTACAGCCGAACCAGCGGGAAGCACGTGCAGGTTCTGCCCAACAAGAAGATCAACGCCATGGCAGAAGATGGAGACATACACGGTAAACCCAATATCCAAACTTTATGGATTTGTTTCAGGTTCTTCGCGTTTTGTCGGTTTTAACTTGCCGAAATTCATTATTAATATTTCTAAAACTCCAAACTAACCAACTAAAATAAACGTATGGCTACAACAGGCTTAGGCTATGCCTATATAGGCATAGGGCCTAAAGGCCCATTTTGGCATAACAAACTATCATGTGCAAGAGGTTAGTAGCCTAATGCTTACTGTGAATTGTACAGAAGTTGTTTTTCTGTCGTCGTTTTTTACATTAAATAACACGGCCACTGTATCAGCTGGTATTGTTAAGAAGAGACCGCAGACCGACAAAAATGTAAAATGGATTGAAGATTGTGCTGTAGGTGATTCTCCAGAGAGACTCATGTCTGGAAGAGCCATTAGAAATAATCTTCCTTCAACCTCCTGAACATTTCCTGCATAGCTCTCCTGCTCTCACTTTCCTCTGACCAGCTTCAGAATCAAAATAGGGCCTGCCGAATTTCCAAACAGCCTGCCTGCATTTTACGCAGATTCCCCTGGCCATCCAGGGTACATTTAGGCTATGTATTATCTTTGCATATTCACAAATTAACTATTTTGTTCATGGAATTTATATTTTAAAATGAAGTCAATGTTTTTTCATTTTTTTTCATTAGGCTATTCCCATTGTCATTAAATGGTGTTAGATTTCAATATAATTTGGCAGCAAACTGGACCTTTGACTCTTTGTGTGTATGCTGCTGTAGGGCCTGTCTAATGTGGTGTGTGTATGCACTTGTGTGTGTGTGTTTGTGGTTTGTACCAGAGGGTGTGGAGGTGCTCAGATCACCTATGCCAGTGCTACCTGTACCATGGTAGCAGGTTGTATGTGTGGGTCTAAAGCTGTGGCTTGCATGAGCCTTTTATTGTTTAGCCACACACCAACCATCTAACCACAACCTTAACCATAACCGTAACTCAATAACCACGTGGGTGTGCATTTTGAAATGACAGGCCTATCTGTTGAATTTTGCTGTGTTTACAAGAATAGAGGTTGAGCAGTAAAACTATCAGATGCACCATGGGTTATTTATTTCTCCAAATGTTGGTCCAGGAATGTGTGTCATCATCATGTAGGTAGGGGGATGGGAAACCCAGGAAGAGTAGGGGCTGCCTACTCATAACTCTTAGTAAGCCTATGAAAAGTTTATTCATAATGGCTAGGTAGGCATTGTGTGCCTCTGTGGAAGGCAACAACAAAATAGATAAGCATATTTTAGTTTGGAAAATAAGGAGATCGGTGTTATCAATCATAGAAGCGGTTGTGAGATTTACAGTATCTATAGACACATATTAAGATAAGCCATTTAACACCATTCTATTTATGTCCTTCTGTCTCCAAGCGTGATCTATGATAGAGATGAATGTGGTGCGTATGTGTGACATGAGTACAGATTTATAAAAAAAAGTTGATAGTCCTGCCAGGATGGCCTTTTAGTTTTCAAAGAATTGAGATACACATGTTTTTATGATTCTGCAAGAATTTAAGCTTGCATATATCCTCAGGAATGTGTCCCCACAGGTTTTGTGTGTGTGTGATATATAGAATTTTCTCTTATGAAAATGTAAACTGAATCAACTAAACCATGTCTTTGAGCAACATCCTATTACTAACAGTGCAAAACAGTGCCTGGTTGATAATAAAACTCCTTTGTTTCTTCAGCCAAACTCGTCGTAGAGACGGACACGTTTGGAAGTCGCGTGCGGATCAAAGGAGCAGAGACAGGATTCTACATCTGCATGAACAAGATGGGAAAGCTGATCGGGAAGGTAAAGAGAGAAAATGCATTTGAGCACTGCACTGGGGGTTATGATCTATGGTTATGCCAGTGTGCTGCCGTTTTCCATTGGCTCTGTTTTCGAGCATCTTAGGCTGTGGTTCCACAGTTTGATTATATTGGAGTTCTGTTTGGGGGTTCTAAGACTTGTGGTTTTGTTTGGCGACTCTGCAAAAGTTCTCACCATAGTTCAGTGTGGCTGTGGTTCTGTTTGGTGGTTCCCTATAGCTCCAGAACTGTCCACCTCTGGTACGTTCTGCATGTGAGATGGTTAGAGTCATTGTATGTTGTTGGAAGTCACCTCCTCTGTGTAGCGTGTTGTGGGTCCGAGGGTGTCTCTGCTCCTCTCTCGCTGTGCTGGCTAATAAACAGGGCTGCCATCTCCACCCCCCTACAGAACCCTGCCAGGTGCACCATCTGCCCTGAGCTGCCTCTATGCCATACCAGCCCAGCAACAGCCTGTGTGTGTGTTTGAATGACTGTATGTGTATATTTGTGTATGTTGCACTTGCTTTCTGGCTGCATGGATGCTAGATTTATTTTTAACAGCCCATTTTGTCCAGCTAGGTTGTTGAGCTTGTTTAGCTACGTTAGTGTTGCCGGTGTGTGACGTGTCACAGACCAGTGAAGGTTGGGCTGGAGGGGCTGTGGGAGGGACGCAGGGCCTAGCTACTGCTCATAACACAAGATCACAAACCCCCCTTCACTCTCAATGTAGAATACTAGACCAAAAGAAAAAACATCCACCCCGTCTTACCATTTCTCAAAACGTAGAGATAGAATAAATGCAAGACAACCATGTATTTGATTGTACCGAAGGGAGACTAGAGTAGTTTATTTTAGGATCTATTGATTGATATTCAAGTCGATGGGCCCTCTGCGGTTCGATTCAGCCATGCCACAAACGAGACAGTGCAGTGCTAAATAGAAGGAAATCCACACATGAAGCTGATAATGAATTTCTTAGGTATATCTCCTATGATGGCATGTCTTAGGCTGCTGACCCTTGAGTGGTCCTCACGGATGTGTCTCTGTGTTTACTGAGGAGGGAGACTCATTGCTTACTGTCATCCCCTCTCTCTGATCTGGGCCTGTAATGACAGTATCATATGCTTCATGCGTATGGGGAGGGCTGCGTGCACACGTGTCTGTGTGTGTGTGCGCAGGGACATACTGTTCGGGGTAGCCTTCTTACATCTGATATTTCCCATCTGTAAATCTTCATAGAAAGCTCCTTCAGACACTCCGACTGATCTGGTGTGTGTGTGTGTGTTTGTCTTTCAAAGAAAAATGGGCAAGGCCGCGACTGTATCTTCTCAGAGATCGTCCTGGAGAATAACTACACGGCGCTGAGGAACGCACGCTTCGAGGGCTGGTACATGGCGTTCACCAGACGTGGACGCCCCCGGAAAGGCTCGCAAACACGGCAGCACCAACGTGAGGTCCATTTTATGAAACGACTGCCTCGGGGATCCAATCCCACTCACCCAGCCCAGCACAAGCCCTTTGACTTCGTCCACTACCCCTTCAGCCCCAGGACTAAACGCACACGCTACTCAGCCGAACGCTGAGAGGGGCAGAGAGGAGAAAAACCACTGACTGAAGCAAGAATTAACTCCTCTTTTCAAAACCTTTAGATATTTTTTTTGTACTGAACATTACTATACCTAACGTAGTTTTTCAATTTTTTTACAAATAATAATAAAAAAAAAAAAAAAAAACATAAGATATATATTTTTGTACCTGAGACTTTTAGTACTGATGTGTTGTTTTTAGATGCACATAACTCATCATCGGACATTTGGGGTGCTGACATTTTAGTAAAGCGTGGACTTTTTATTGTCTCTGTATTTTGGGTTGTGTTTTTGCTTTTGTTTGACGGTTCAGAGTCGTTTGGACTCACACCTGCTGCTCCAAGAGACTTGAAGGGCCCTGATCGACCGCACTGCCAGAAAATGCTGCATTCAGAGACACATACAGTACACACACACACACACACACGCACACACACACACACCATCAATGCTGCGTTCAGGGGAGCCGTGTTGAGTAACGTTGCGTTCAGTATCACACACAGCCACAGCACCTCTGTTGAACGCTGTAGTGTGACCTTGCTACTTCTGGAATTCTATAGAGACAAACACAGTGAAAGCAAACAGAGCTTTATGTACACACAATGGAAAATGTGGCAGCTATATTGATAATCACAGGTTTCCTGCTATGGATATAACTGTAAATTAGAGGTGTAAAAATGCATTGATATGTCGGAAACCCCCTTTGTTTTTGTTACCCTTTTGTTTGTCTGTTTTTATACATATATAAATCTATTTTTATTTTAAGGACGTGTACAAATAATTTTAATGATGGAATATTTATTTAAAATGTGTAATAAATGTACATTAGAATACTGATATTAAACTCTTGTTTGTTAAATAATTGTTTTACACTCTTTGAACTGCCTTGGGAACAGTAGCGGTGCGTGGGTAAAATCAATGGGGAAGCCAAGCAAGAAAAAAAAAGCCATATTACAACCTATATGTTGTGATAATTGCGTTGTTCGCTCTATAACCTGTTAGTTCATATGTCTTGCCACCGTGATATATAGGCCTAAAGGCCGAGACAATAAGAAGACACAGTGGCAGAATAAATTCAACCATACATTTGATTCATCACAAAACCAGAGAGCAACCTCTGTCCAGTGAAGTCCACTAAGCATATTGCATGTAACAAACAGTTACATGACCTACAGCATGGTCAAGCAAGTAAATGTTTCTGACATTTTCGGACTACTAAACAACTATTGATTTAGAACCACGGAGAGTTACTGCAAGTCACAAAGAAAACAGGAGCTACCTCCACTATTCCAGAAAAATTTCAACTTCCAACATTTCAACATCATCAAATCACCTATGCTTAGTCTAATACAGTGACAACTAAAAGATACCAAATCCAATTTAGTCCAATCGACGTAAGCTAAATATGATGTGGCTGTCCATGGTTTAGATATTTTGTTGGTGTGTGTGTGCGTGCGTCCGTCCGTGCAAGTAGAAAAAACATGTTGACTCACCCTACTTGTAGAGAAACGGCAATGCCATCCTCCTCTCTTTCATGTTGATGAAACAGTCTATGACTCTGTCATACAGTACATGCTTTTATGTTTTGTTGTCCTAGGCTACCTGGCTAAAATGCTTACCTCCTTTCATGGGCAACATTAGCTAGTTAACATTAGCCTTCTACATCTAGCTACATATTGAACTTCCATCCTCTCAGTCCAGGGGCACAATGTATGAATTAATGGTCGGATCAGAATCGCCGTTATAATCATTGGCCAGTATGGAGAATTAAGTAAAACCACAAGTCCAAATCCCTATCTCCATCCATGGCTAATTTAGGAAAGGGCCAATTTCAGTTAGCTAGCTAGCCACCAGAGGACAACAACACAATGAGATGCAACAATTCAAGTTGTTTCTGTCAATGAAGTATTTCTCTCAATGCGATGTGATAGGCGCGAAGCCAAATCCAAACACTTTTTTTTTGGTGCGCCAGGACCATTCACAGTTGAGCTCACTCAGTTTAGCGCAACACTGATTGGCTATTATTTTATACATTTTTTATCAAGGGATACCAAATGCTTGGTGGCTTCCCTTGCATTCAATGCTACGGGCTGCAACAACGTCATACTCTTTTTGACCAGACAGCATCAGATAGATGACGTACACATACAGAGACAGAGGGTCGCTGTTTCGCTCGCTCGGATCCTTTCTCCGGTGAGATACATTCAGCCTCTTGCGAATTGAAGGAACATTCTGAAAACAGAGAGACGAAAGATACATGATTAAAAAATATATATATTGGTCAATTTCTTTGGGAAGCCTGGCTTCCCTTGGCATCTATGAATACACGCCACTGATTGGGAAGTGGGAGTATCGTTAGGCACACACTGGAGATGGCTTAAGTCGCCCCATGCATGCACGCATGCACACACGCAGACACACACACACACACACACACACACACACAGGGCACTTGGATCACATCAGCATTCTAATGATACATAACACAGAAGGTCATCCCATCCCAGCCTTCCAATCCTTAATGCATACATATTGTCGTTTCTCTGAGTTGATCTTAGAAATGTGAACTGTAAAGTGGGAAATGTTTTCATCTTCTAACATTGCAGTAGAAAAATATATATACAGTATGTAAAGTTTGATAGAGAGTTAGGTATGGATTTCCTCCTGCTCTGCCCTGTTTTGGAATGCAACTCTTAGCCCCCTAGAAGGCCAGGCAGCAGTCTATAGCAAGCAGTGTGAGACTACAGCAGGTCATTGATGTTGGAGCCCTTTAGCAGATAGCAGTGTGTTGGTCTTCTACTGTTTGGTCCTCCAAAGATGATAGCAATGTGTTTGTTTAAGGCTTTGGTTTCTCCAGGTTCAGTAACTGTCTCTCAGTGTCTCCTCGTATGCAGACGGCTGTTTTTCTTTCATCTCACTCCTTTAACACCCCAGGTCTTAATCTGATTGGACAGCCCTGGTGTGTGTGTTTATTATCTGATTGGACAGCTCCGGTGTGTGTGTTTGTTTGAGAGCTGTGCTGAGTGAGGGAGGTTGGGTTCTGACAACTCTTTCGCCACAGGGATTCAGTTCCTTCCAACAAGTTGTCTTCCGACCCTTCCTGCTGCCCTTGCTCCCGCTTCTCAGACTAAGATGAAGTCTCTTGCTACAGAAGGCTCTGTTGATGCAGCTCTGCATGGCAGAACAAGACCTGGTGATGCATCTCTGTAAAAGACAAAACACATCAGAACGAGGGACGGCCAAGCGCAGTAGGCAGCTGTTCCATCTCTTGCAATGGCCACTGTGTGTTACAGGGACCACCTGCCGAGCGGTGTAGAATCGTAGGAAAATGAACACAAAAACGACGTCCGATATTCTGGTCAGAGGCACTCGGTTGCACTCGGCCATCCATCGTTCTGGTGTGTGTTCAGAGTAAGGCCTTCTGGTTGAACTCTGTATGGCAGAGCGAGGCCTGGTCTAATGTTGGAACTCTGTATAGGGCAAGGCACAGGTTAGCATGGCAGGCTTCATTGGCAGCTCATACTTCAAGGAGTCTATGTTCATTGTAGATTCAAAACAGATCCCTGTAGATTAATTGAAACCCATTACCGTATCTATTACTCTATCTAACCTCACATCTTAACTGTTTAAGTCAGTGCTTAGGTGTTGAAATGCTCTTCCACGCTTGAGGATGTCTATTCACAATACTTGACAGTAATCTGATTGAGTCCTTCCATGATGGATTAACAGGGTTTCTGTCCCCCTGGGCTCTCTGCAGTGCCTCTCTAGTCTGCCCACTGCATTAAGGCTCTGTGTGGCTTCTATGACTGTAAAGCCCCAATGGACCCTGGGGTAGGAGCAGGTTGTGGGAAAAGTCACACCTTCTGTGTAGCCTGTGATGCCATGCAAATGCAGAGCAATTCTGCTCCAGAAAAAGGGGGTAAAATCGCTTTCATCCGTTTTATTGAGCAGATAAACAAACAGAGCTACCTTCTTCATTTGCTTCGGGAGCAATTTAGCCCCTGTCCTGTCCGCCCTCCCCCCTGCAGAGGCCGTAGACTAGCAGGGGTGAGCAGGGAGCGCGACCCTGCTGTCTTAACCAGCACTGCAGCAAACTGACACAAACGGCCCTGATCAAAAAACACCAATAACATCTAAATATATCTAAATTAATATAGAGAGGGGGAAAAGTAAAATACGGTCCTGGACAAACTGCCTTGGTTAAACATACTTTTATGGAAGATCAGATACCACAAACTTTCCTTGATCAGGAGACACATACTGTGAGGCATATGGGGGGCTTAAGTGTCATGGGTCTCAGGCGTGTCCATACATTAGCATGCAGTATGGTGGTTGTTCATACAGCTTTATTGTCATGGCATGTTTACCATCTATTTTTCTCAATATAGAAAATATAACAAAAACACAAATCAGGAAACCCACAATAAGCAGTAATCAATGACCAAGTGAGTCTGAGTTTTCTGTGTTTGACACTGTCCAGAAACAGAGCACAGTTAGTTAACTCCCCTTCTCCTCATTGCATTTCAATCTTAGAGCCTAGAAGACTAGTTGCATTGATTTTCCTTCCAAGTGACAGAGATTCCCTTAAATCCATGTCCTTATTCTTCCTGCAATGTTAGGGAAGAGCCAGCAGCCAAACCAAGCTGGATAATTGAAACTCAAACACTGATCAAAGTGGAGCGCCAACTCGACAGTTTCATTGTTTATATACAGGCTGTACGGGAGACCTGTTTACTTTTCCAATTGGAGCTGTAAACGTTTGTTTGTCCATGCATTTCCAAGACTGATTGTCAGAATGATCCGAACAATTACCAGCTAAATGTGTTTGCCAGCTCAGGGAGAGTCCCCCCTCTCTGCCCTAAAAAGATCAAAAGGGAAGACCCCCCTGGCCACCCCGGCGCACCCCTCCTCTCCCCAGCTCCCTCCTCCCAACCTCTTCATTTCCTTTTAGCCATGTCAGTTCAGCTGGAAACCCAACCATAAATGATTTTTTTAGACGTCCCAGTGTTTGGGACATGGCCTTTCAGAGTGTGCAGCTTTCAACAGAGGACACGTCTCTAAAAAGATCTGCATATTTCAGTGATGTGCTGTTATGCACAGCTGATCAAAGACTTTTAGGGCTGCCAGTTGTAACTGAAGGCTAGAGCACCCTCGTGATGTGAATGTGCACAAATTGATGCTACTGACTCTAAACGGATACGGTAAGCTTTATGTACAGTTGAATGGTCGATATTAGTAGTAATTTCACCATTGTACGACTTTTGGTGAATAACATGTTAAATTCTGGACATAGATTGCTTAGGAAGACAGATAGTTGTATCAATATAAGACTCAATGAACACCTGAAAATAAGGTGGAAAGGATAAATATTTAGCATGCAGATAGATTTAACAGAACTGGTTCTCTTTGGTTTATGCTCACATGATTTACAATGCCATACAAACTTGTTCAGAGAAAAGACAACACTTGCTCCTTGCATTATAAAGCCTTTTCCACAGCACTCTTTTTCCCAGTATTCTAGTATTTCCCAGTTAGCATCATCCCATGAACCGCAGGTGCTTTATGCTTAGAAACTGTATTAGTCAGATACATACAGAGAGTCAATGATGTTGTTGTTTTCTAAATGATAATGTTGTTGTAGGATGTGGTCCAATGGTCCTATAGTCGCAGTGAGCGGTGTGGTGTGACCTGGTCGCCTGTGTTTGACCTGGTTGCCGTCCAGTTGCTGCGAGGAACTTGGTCGCAGTTCGGTCACCTCTCTGTGAGCAACACAGTCACGAAGCTGAATGAGATGAGGTCACTTTGGTCTAAATAGAAACCACCATCTAGGAGCTGCATTTCGGCCAATCACACACCATGACCTCTGATCAAACGACCTATCACATACCGTAACCCCTGATCAAACGGGCCCATTGTGGTTGTAATAGAAAAACATGTCAGACAATGACAGCTTTGAATACCGACATGTGGGTCCGCCAATAATGGCAAGAAGTTTGCCAAATAAAAAAACACAACAACAAAAACTTTAGAGAGACTGGGTCAGTCAATACGACACGGAACAGAGGAGGCAGGGAGAGAGGAGAATGACTGAGGGGCCGAGGGGCATTCCACAAGCCACGGAGCATGTCTGCTGCCGGGGAACTCATGCCCAGCCATAACGGCCAATAGACAAGGAAAGACGAGGGGAAAGCCAAAGAGGCCAACTGGCCAAGTAATGACAAGCCTGAACTCAGAGTTAGTGGATAAAGCTGCTGAATCAATCAAACACTTCTCATAAAGTCCCTTGTCAGAGAACAATTAGGGACATGACCACCTTCGCCGACCACACACACACATACACACACACGCACACACACACACACACACATACACACACATACACACATTCACACATACACACACACACACAAGAAAAAAGCAGAATAAAACCAAAATGAACGTAAGAGAAATGCCATAGGGTACTGTGGAACACGAGTGGGGAGCCAGGCCCACCCAATCAAATTTAGCAAAAATGTATATACAGTATTCAGTGCCTTCAGAAAGTAGTCACCCCCCTTGACTTTTTCCACATTTTGTTGTGTTACAGCCTGAATAAAAAGAATGTTTAAATAGAGATGTCTTGTCACTGGCCTACACACAATACCCCATAATGTCAAAGTGGAATTATGTTGTAAAAGATTTAACAAGTCACATAATAAGTTGCATGGACTCACTCTGTGTGCAATAATAGTGTTTAACATGATTTTTGAATGACTACTTAATCTCTGTACCCCACACATACAATTACAGTGAAGGAAAAAAGTATTTGATCCCCTGCTGATTTTGTATGTTTGCCCACTGACAAAGACATGATCAGTCTATAATTGTAATGGTAGGTTTATTTGAACAGTGAGAGACAGAATAACAAAACAAAAATCCAGAAAAACGCATGTCAAAAATGTTATAAATTGATTTGCATTTTAATGAGGGAAATAAGTATTTGACTCCTCTGCAAAACATGACTTAGTACTTGGTGGCAAAACCCTTGTTGGCAATCACAGAGGTCAGACGTTTCTTGTAGTTGGCAACCAGGTATACCCACATCTCAGGAGGGATTTTGTCCCACTCCTCTTTGCAGATCTTCTCCAAGTCATTAAGGTTTCGAGGCTGATGTTTGGCAACTCGAACCTTCAACTCCCTCCTCTGATTTTCTATGGGATTAAGGTCTGGAGACTGGCTAGGCCACTCCAGGACCTTAATGTGCTTCTTCTTGAGCCACTCCTTTGTTGCCTTGGCCGTGTGTTTTGGGTAATTGTCATGCTGGAATACCCATCCACGACCCATTTTCAATGCCCTGACTGAGGGAAGGAGGTTCTCACCCAAGATTTGACGGTACATGGCCCCGTCCATCGTCCCTTTGATGCGGTGAAGTTGTCCTGTCCCCTTAGCAGAAAAACACCCCAAAGCATAATGTTTCCACCTCCATGTTTGACGGTGGGGATGATGTTCTTGGGGTCATAGGCAGCATTCCTCCTCCTCCTAAACACGGTGATTTGAGTTGATGGCAAAGAGCTCGATTTTGGTCTCATCTGACCACAACACTTTCACCCAGTTCTCCTCTGAATCTTTCAGATGTTCATTGGCAAACTTCAGACGGGCCTATATACAGTGGGGAAAAAAAGTATTTAGTCAGCCACCAATTGTGCAAGTTCTCCCACTTAAAAAGATGAGAGAGGCCTGTAATTTTCATCATAGGTACACGTCAACTATGACAGACAAATTTAGGAAAAAAAATCCAGAAAATCCCATTGTAGGATTTTTAATGAATTTATTTGCAAATTATGGTGGAAAATAAGTATTTGGTCACCTACAAACAAGCAAGATTTCTGGCTCTCACAGACCTGTAACTTCTTCTTTCAGAGGCTCCTCTGTCCTCCACTCGTTACCTGTATTAATGGCACCTGTTTTAACTTGTTATCAGTATAAAATACACCTGTCCACAACCTCAAACAGTCACACTCCAAACTTCACAATGGCCAAGACCAAAGAGCTGTCAAAGGACACCAAAAACAAAATTGTAGACCTGCACCAGGCTGGGAAGACTGAATCTGCAATAGGTAAGCAGCTTGGTTTGAAGAAATCAACTGTGGGAGCAATTATTAGGAAATGGAAGACATACAAGACCACTGATAATCTCCCTCGATCTGGGGCTCCACGCAAGATCTCACCCCGTGGGGTCAAATTTATCACAAGAACGGTGAGCAAAAATCCCAGAACCACACGGGGGGACCTAGTGAATGACCTGCAGAGAGCTGGGACCAAAGTAACAAAGCCAACCATCAGTAACACACTACGCCGCCAGGGACTCAAATCCTGCAGTGCGAGACGTGTCCCCCTGCTTAAGCCAGTACATGTCCAGGCCCGTCTGAAGTGCATTTGGATGATCCAGAAGAGGATTGGGAGAATGTCATATGGTCAGATGAAACCAAAATATAACTTTTTGGTAAAAACTCAACTCGTCATGTTTGGAGGACAAAGAATGCTGAGTTGCATCCAAAGAACCCCATACCTACTGTGAAGCATGGGGTTGGAAACATCATGCTTTGGGGCTGTTTTTCTGCAAAGGGACCAGGACGACTGATCCGTGTAAAGGAAAGAATGAATGGGGCCATGTATCGTGAGATTTTGAGTGAAACCCTCCTTCCATCAGCAAGGGCATTGAAGATGAAACGTGGCTGGGTCTTTCAGCATGACAATGATCCCAAACACACCGCCCGGGCAACGAAGGAGTGGCTTCGTAAGAAGCATTTCAAGGTCCTGGAGTGGCCTAGCCAGTCTCCAGATCTCAACCCCATAGAAAATCTTTGGAGGGAGTTGAAAGTCTGTGTTGCCCAGCGACAGCCCCAAAACATCACTGCTCTAGAGGAGATCTGCATGGAGGAATGGGCCAAAATACCAGCAACAGTGTGTGAAAACCTTGTGAAGACTTACAGAAAACGTTTGACCTGTGTCATTGCCAACAAAGGGTATATAACAAAGTATTGAGAAACTTTTGTTATTGATCAAATACTTATTTTCCACCATCATATGCCAATAAATTCATTAAAAATCCTACAATGTGATTTTCTGGATTTTTTTTTCTCATTTTGTCTGTCATAGTTGACGTGTACCTATGATGAAAATTACAGGCCTCTCTCATCTTTTTAAGTGGGAGAACTTGCACAATTGGTGGCTGACTAAATACTTTTTTTCCCCACTGTATGTGCTTCTTGAGCAGGGGGACCTTGCGGGCGCTGCAGGATTTCAGTCCTTCACGGCGTAGTGTATTACCAATTGTTTTCTTGGTGACTATGGTCCCAGCTGCCTTGAGATCATTGACACGATCCTCCCGTGTAGTTCTGTGCTGATTCCTCTCCGTTCTCATGATCATTGCAACTCCACGAGGTGAGATCTTGCATGGAGCCCCAGGCCGAGGGAGATTGACAGTTATTTTGTGTTTCTTCCATTTGCGAATAATCGCACCAACTGTTGTCACCTTCTCACCAAGCTGCTTGGCGATGGTCTTGTAGCCCATTCCAGCCTTGTGTAGGTCTACAATCTTGTCCCTGACATCCTTGGAGAGCTTTTTGGTCTTGGCCATGGTGGAGAGTTTGGAATCTGATTGATTGATTGCTTCTGTGGACAGGTTTCTTTTATACAGGTAACAAACTGAGATTAGGAGCACTCCCTTTAAGAGTGTGCTCCTAATCTCAGCTCGTTACCTGTATAAAAGACACCTGGGAGCCAGAACTCTTTCTGATTGAGAGGGGGTCAAATACTTATTTCCCTCATTAAAATGCAAATCAATTTATAACATTTTTAACATGCGTTTGTCTGGATTTTTTTTTGTTATTCTGTCTCTCACTGTTCAAATAAACCTACCATTAAAATGATAGACTGATCATGTCTTTGGCAGTGGGCAAACGTACAAAATCAGCAGGGGATCAAATATTTTTTTCCCCCACTGTATCTGTAAGGTTCCTCAGTCGAGCAGTGCATTTCAAATACAGATTCCACCACAAGGACCAGGGAGGTTTTCCAATGCCTCACAAAGAAAGGCACCTATTAGTAGATTGGTAAAAGTAAAAAAGCAGACATTGAATATCCCTTTGAGCACTGTGAAGTTATTAATTACACTTTGGATGGTGTATCATTACACCCAGTCACTACAAATATACAGGTGTCCTTCCTAGCTCAGTTGCCAGAGAGGACGGAAACCACTCAGGGATTTCATCATGAGACCAATGGTGACTTTAAAACAGTTACTGAATTTCATGGCTGTGATAGGAGAAAACTGAGGATGGATCAACAACATTGTAGTTACTCCACAATACTAACCTAATTGACAGAGGGAAAAGAAGGAAGCCTGTACAGAATAAACATATTTTTAAAAATCCTGTTTGCATCAAGACACTAAAGTAATACCGCAAAAAAAGTGTTGTGTTTGGGGCAAATCCAATACAACTGAGTACCACTCTCCATATTGTCAAGCACAGTGGTGGCTGCATCGTGTTATGGGTATTCTTGTAATCATAAAGGACTGGGGAGTTTTTCAGGATAAAAAAGAAATGGAATGGAGCTAAGCACAGGCAAAATCCTATAGGAAAACCTGGTTCAGTCTGCTTTCCACTAGACTCTGGGAGATGAATTCACCTTTCAGCAGGACAATAACCTAAAACACAAGGCCAAATCTACACTGGAGTTGCTTACCAAGGAGACAGTGAATGTTCCTTAGAGGCCGAATTACAGCCTAAATCTACTTGAAAATCTATGACAAGACAAGAAAAGGTTTGTCTAACAATGACCAACAACCAATTTGACAGAGCTTGAAGAATTTTGAAAATAATAATGGGAAAATGTTGTACAATCCACGTGTGGAAAGCTCTCAAAGACTTACCCAGAAAGACTCACAACTGTAATTGCAGCCAAAGGTGCTTCTACAAAGTATTGACTCAGGGGTGTGAATACTTTGTAGATGAGATATGTATTTCCTTTTCAATACATCTGCAACCATTTCTAAAAACATGTTTTCACTTTGTCATTATGGGGTATTGTGTGTAGCTAAAGCTAACTCTCTCTCCTCTGCTCTTATCCTTCTAGACCTATCCGCTGCCTTTGATACTGTGAACCATCAGATCCTCCTCTCCACCCTCTCCGAGTTGGGCATCTCTGGCGCTGCTCACTCTTGGATTGCGTCCTACCTGACAGGTCGCTCCTACCAGGTGGCGTGGCAAGAATCTGTCTCCGCACCACGTGCTCTCACCACTGGTGTCCCCCAGGGCTCAGTTCTAGGCCCTCTCCTATTCTCTCTATACACCAAGTCACTTGGCTCTGTCATATCCTCACATGGTCTCTCCTATCATTGCTACGCAGACGACACACAATTAATTTTCTCCTTTCCCCCTTCTGATAACCAGGTGGCGAATCGCATCTCTGCATGTCTGGCAGACATATCAGTGTGGATGTCGGATCACCACCTCAAGCTGAATCTCGGCAAGACGGAGCTGCTCTTCCTCCCGGGGAAGGACTGCCCGCTCCATGATCTCGCCATCACGGTTGACAACTCCATTGTGTCCTCCTCCCAGAGTGCAAAGAGCCTTGGCGTGACCCTGGACAACACCCTGTCGTTCTCCGCTAACATCAAAGCGGTGACCCGATCCTGCAGGTTCATGCTCTACAACATTTGCAGAGTACGACCCTACCTTACACAGAAAGCGGCACAGGTCCTAATCCAGGCACTTGTCATCTCCCGTCTGGATTACTGCAACTCGCTGTTGGCTGGGCTCCAGAACGCCGCAGCCCGTCTGGTGTTTGACCTTCCCAAGTTCTCTCATGTCACCCCGCTCCTCTGCACACTCCACTGGCTTCCAGTTGATGCTCGCATCTACTACAAGACCATGGTGCTTGCCTACGGAGCTGTGAGGGGAACGGCACCTCCTTACCTTCAGGCTCTGATCAGACCTTACACCCAAACGAGGGCACTACGTTCATCCACCTCTGGCCTGCTAGCTCCCCTACCTCTACAGAAGCACAGTTCCCGCACAGCCCAGTCAAAGCTATTTGCTGCTCTGGCACCCCAATGGTGGAACAAGCTCCCCCACGACGCCAGGACAGCGGAGTCACTGACCACCTTCCGGAGACACTTGAAACCCTACCTCTTTAAAGAATACCTGGAATAGTATAAAGTCATCCTTCTACCCCCCCCCCCCCCTCCCCCACCGCCCCATAAAAAAAGAAGAAGAAAAAAGTGGTTGTCCCACTTGCTATCATAAGTTGAATGCACCAATTTGTAAGTCGCTCTGGATAAGAGCGTCTGCTAAATTATGTAAATGTAAATGTAGATGGATGAGAAAAAAAAATGTAATCAATTTTGAATTCAGGCTGTAACACAACAAAATGTGGAATAAGTCAAGGGGTATGAATGCTTTCTGAAGGCACTGTAAGTATACTGAACAAAAATATAAATGCAACATGTAAAGTGTTGGTCCCATGTTTCATGAACTGAAATAAAAGATCCCAGAAATTTTCCATATGCACAAAAATCTTATTTCTCTCTAATTTTGTGCACAAATTTGTTAACATCCATGTTAGTGAGCAGTTCTCCTTTGCCAAGATAATCCATCCACCTGACAGGTGTGGCATATCAAGAAGCTGATTAAACAGCATGATCATTACACAGGTGCACCTTGTGCAGGGGACAATAAAAGGCCACTCTAAAATGTGCAGTTGTCACAAAACACAATGCCACATATGTCTCAAGTTTTGAGGGAGCTGTTGTCCCGGACAGCTTATGAAACTGTGGGTTTGCACAACCGAAGAATTTCTGCACAAACTGTCAGAAACTATGTGCTCGTCGTCCTCACCAGGGTCTTAACCTGACTGCAGTTCGGCGTTGTAACCGACTTCAGTGGGCAAATGCTCACCTTTGATGGCCACTGACATGCTGGAGAAGTGTGTTCTTCACGGATGAATCCCGGGTTTCAACTGTACCGGGCAGATGGCAGACAGCGTGTATGGCGTCGTGTGGGCGAGCGGTTTGCTGATGTCAACATTTTTAACAGAGTGCCCCATGGTGGCGGTGGGGTTATGGTATGGGCAGGCATAAACTACAGACAATGAACACAATTGCATTTTATCGATGGAAATGTTAATGCACAGAGATACCGTGACAAGATCCTGAGGCCCATTGTCGTGCCATTCATCCGCCACCATCACCTCATGTTTCAGCATGAAAATGCACGGCCCCGTCACAAGGATCTGTACACAATTCCTGGAAGCTGAAAATATCCCAGTTCTTCCATGTCCTACATACCCACCAGACATGTCACCCATTGAGCATGTTTGGGATGCGCTGGATCGACATGTAGGACAGCGTGTTCCAGTTCCCGCCAATATGCAGCAATACAGCAATACAGCCATTGAAGAGGAGTGGGACAACATTCCACAGGCCACAATGAAGAGCCTGATCAACTCTATGGGTTGTGGGTTCGATTCCCACGGGGGGCCAGTATGAAAAATGTACACCTGCTCTGTCAGAAGGAATGGGCCAAAATTCACCCAATTTATTGTGGAAGGCTACCTGAAACGTTTGACCCAAGTTAAACAATTTAAAGGCAATGCTACCAAATACTAATTGAGTGTATGTAAACTTCTGACCCACTGGGAATGTGATGAAAGAAATAAAAGCTGAAATAAATAATTCTCTCTACTATTATTCTGACATTTCACATTCTTAAAATAAAGTGGTGATCCTAACTGACCTAAGACAGGGAAGTTTTACTAGGATTAAATGTCAGGAATTGTGAAAAACTGAGTTTAAATGTATTTGGCTAAGGTGTATGTAAACTTCCGACTTCAACTGTATATTATGTTCTCTACTTGTCAGTGTTCCAAACGGGACATTATTTGTATTTTTACCTAAACATGCTAACACCATCAGATAGAATTCATAGCAAGCAGTGCACTGGAATGACATTCAGATTAACTGGAATTACATTCAGTTTCATGAGATGGGTGGCCAAAAATAACTAACTGAAAGCCACACACCCAATAGGGCATGAAAATGCAAAATGTTCATTTCAAAATGCCACAATATAGCCAAGCAATACATGTCACTGTTGCTTATACTGTTGCAAATATAACCAATCTAGTAATTTGAGAGTGAGACACTTAATTTCATATACCCTGATAGAGCAACATTCATCAAGTTTGCAGATGACACAACAGTGGTAGGCCTGATTACCAACAATGACGAGACAGCCTACAGGGCCCTGGCAGAGTGGTGGCAGGAAAATAACCTCTCCCTCGACGTCAACACAACGAAGGAGCTGATCGTGGACTTCAGAAGACAGCAGAGGGAGCATGCCACCATCCAAATCGACAGGGCAGCAGTGGAGAGGGTGAAAAAGCTTCAACTTCCTCTGGTCCATCCACACAAAGTTTGCCTCTTCAACTTCAGGAGGCTGAAGAAATTTGTCTTGGCCCCTAAGACCCTCACGAACTTCTACAAATGCACCATTGAGAGCATCCTGTTGGGCTGTATCACCGCCTGGTACGGCAACTGAACCGTCCGCAACCGCAGGGCTCTCCAGAGTGTGGTGCGGTCAGCCCAACGCATCAACAGGTGGCACACTACCTGCCCTCCAGGACATCTACAGGAAGGCCAAGAAGATCATCAAGGACCTCAGGCACCCGAGCCATGGCCCAAATAGGGCTATCTTCTGTATACCTCCCCTACCTTGTCACAACACAACTGATTGGCTCAAATGCATTAAGAAGGAAAGACGTTCCACAAATTAACTTTGAAGAAGGCACACCTGTTAATTGAAATGCATTCCAGGTGACTATCTCATGAAGATGGTTGAGATAATGCCAAGAGTGTGAAAAGCTGTCATGAAGGCAAAGGGTGGCTATTTGAATATATAAAATAAATGTTGATTTGTTTAACACTTAAGTTACTACATGATTCCATATGTGTTATTTCATCGTTTTGATGTCTTCACTATTATTCTACAATGTAAAAAATAGTAAAAAAAAAAAAAAAAAAACTTGAATGAGTAGGTGTGTCCAAACTTTGGACGGGGTAGTGTATTTAACGTCATTACGTCGCACGACGTCACCACGTGATCTCTGTCACTGTGTTGGAATGGCTTCCTGTATCTTCTCTTTTTCACGCGCTCTAAGAACATGGATTACAGTTTACCTCTATTAAACCCTTTTTTTTAAAACTACCATAGAAGAGGCAATACACCTAGAGAAAGATACAGCGCAATACAGAAACGGAAAAGAGAAACCTTCAATACGAACTTAATATGTTCTTATTCCAGTTACCAGAGGTTGTTCTCTACCACATTATGTCATATTTGGAATACAAGTCTTTGAGTCGCCTTTCTCAAGTTTGCACAACAATTTACCATTTTGCAAATCGTGACGCCGTATGGAGGAAGATAGCAAAAGAGTTCATCAACACTGGAATTACACGACAAGGAGCTGATGTGTAAGAGATACATTTTTTATTCGTACAGTAAGTAAGCTACAGTGGTCGATTCAGGATAAGCATCATGACTTCCCCAGAGTTGTTTACATATATCTCCACGCGGCTTGCTACAGTTGGTGCCATTCACACCGCTATCATCCTTGATGCAAAATTATGCAACACTGTAGCATGTAGTGCATGGGCTATAATTTTTCAGTATGGTGCCCCAGGAAAACGTTTCTGTGTTGTAAAAATGCATGCAGATAGCCTCGTGGTTACTTGCTATAGATATCTGAACGGCGTTTACAAATAAGTTGTAGCTGCATAATAACACATTCCTTATTGCACACAGTCATGCTGCTACATAATGCTGGGAATAATATTCTCGGCCAATGACTGCAGTTATGTTGACATGACGACACTGTATTTCATGATACATTCATTGTAAGAAATAGAAATAACCTATTTCCCACTTGCTACTGTGGAAGCCCTGAGTCTGACTGAGTGGTCTAGAAACACTGGTCTAGAGAACCTAACATTGTGAATTGGACCTGAGCCATTCTGGCATCACTGCCTTCTCCACCAGCACAGCTCCCTATGCCACATTGACAGCCACTCTAATCAAACCTTTGAGATGCAGCCTAACGCCAGTGTAAATACACTTTATAATCCTGCGGAGTGCTACAGGATACCACAGCCCTCAGCTCTGTGAGAGAAGCAGGCTGTTTCCTCCAGCCCACATCCACCCCCTCTGGCACAGGCCTCCTGAACACATGCGAACACATATGCTACTGTTCTGGACGACAGTGTTGGGTTCAAGTCCGACAAGTATCTTTCTAGCAGCTTTTATCCCCTCTAGTTCCTCAGTGCATAATGCATATAAACAATATGGTTCTGTTTGAGGCGTCCCACTATTCCTTGTGATATTCAAATCATATCAGCAAATATACAGCATGCAATGCTGTAATTCTAAGCCTTTTGGGCATTGTTTGTGTGCATTGTCTGTTCGGAGGTCATACTTATGTTGTGTTCTTCAGGGGTTATAATTGTGTTATCACATCACTATCCATGTTACAGGTATCCCCACATCCCGCTGAAGGACAGAGTGAAGGTATCTCAGAACTGGTGCCATGGGATCTGCAGAAAGGAAGTCATGCTCAAATGGAGGATTAAGTGAGTGTGTTTGTGAGTTTTGGCCTCATGGCACAACAGTGTAGATTCAGGAGTTTCCGTAATCCATCTCATCTCTTGCCCCACTGAACACACGACAGGAATTGGCAGGTGAAAGTTTAGGGAGAAAAAATTGCCAAAGAGCTCCTGTAGAGTTATTGTTAGTTTGTTTTTATAAAGCTATATTCAAGTAAAAGGTATTAAACATTAAGGTGTTAATTTCTTTTTTAAATGGTTGCTGAATAGCTTATGGTTCTAGATGTTGGGACTGAAAAGCTCATTTGGAGTACCAGTAAGCACTATCCAGAGAGTCAATGGTTGGCTTACTGTCTATCCCTTCTGGTTGTGCCATTGACAAGGTTTCAACTAGAGAGAGGATCATTCTCTCCTTTTAGTCATTGTGACAACTCAATCCGTGAAGTCTGAAGTGAGGTGTAGAAAAACATATGTCTGAGTAATTTCCATTATTTGATTGTGTGTTCCCCCCACAGCTTGTTGCCATGGATACAGCTGGACGGGGATGTGCTGTATCTGTCTCAGGCTGCAGACATCGGAGCGTACCATCTGAGGCCGGACACGGGGAGGCTGCAGCGCATCCCCATGGCTCTGTTCTCAGGACACCAGGAAGACGTGTGTCGATTTGCTGTGACTGACACACACCTCGTTAGTGGAGGAAGGTAATCAGCAGTAATTACCTTTACTCAAACTCCTGAAAGAAATAATATCAGGGGTTGAAATTCAGTCCATCATTTTGCTTCAATACTCACTTGCCATTCTTGCTGTGATCATGCTTCGACTAAAGGTCATAGAAGCATCATCAGTACTGCAGACCCACGGCCATAGAAAAACACTCTCAGTCAAATATATCATATTCCACTTAATGTACTCATGTCTGTTATAGTGAACCATTATCTGTCTCTTTCAGTGATGGTAAGATCCTGGTGCACCACAGGAGGAATGGGTCCTCTATGGAGTACTCAGGTCACAACCAGGAGGTGAATTGCCTGGACTGCAGAGGAGGACTGATTGTCAGCGGCTCCAGAGACAGAACAGCCCGGGTGAGACACACTAATATGCTAGCACCCAATGTGTCAATTTGTTTAGATGATACTGGCTGACATAGAGCTCCACTTTAGTGTCACATTCGGTGGCAACCAGAGTGTGTGTCAAATGCAAACTTGGCAAATAAATTGAAATCATAAACTCTGTGTGTTCCACCCTGGCTACATTTACACAGGCAGCCCAATTCTGATCTTTTTTTGACTAATTGGTATTTTGACCAATCAGCTCTGAACAAGAGCTGATGTGAAAAGAGCTGATGTGATTGGTCAAAATACCAATTAGTGGGAAAAATATCAGAATTGGGTTGCCTGTGTGAATGCAGCCTCTGTGGCATATTAGGGTGTACTGTCAACCACAGACAACTATGATTTTTATTGCATTTACAATGGTTTTAATGTTAGTCTTTTCTTAATGTTTTCTTTTAGATTTGGACTTTGTCTTCCAACTTCCCCAGAGACACGATCCCTATGAACGACAGGGTGTGGTCTGTGGCTATTAGTCCCACACAGAGGTACGTAACGTACATGCCTAGAATGTCCCAAAACAGTCAGACCGCTACACTAACATCATACATGAGTGCACAGAAGGTAGAGTCCTGCCCCCTCAGGACAACCCCCATGGGTCAGTACAACACCCTGACTTCAGTTGTCAGCCACCGATTTGGGTTTGGGTGATAGTTGAGGTTGGGGCTAGATGAACCCGAGCGGTGGGTTCATTGTCCTCTGTCACTGAAAAGGACCATATTTATTTCCCTCAGGTGGTCTGGCGAACAGTGAAAGAGGGATTGAGAGAGGTGAAAAAACAGGATATCAAGGCAAAGCGGGGTTGCCTTCATAGGCCCTTTGATTGCTCAGCCATGTAGCTATACACCCACACACTTAATGATGCTCACACACACAAAAGCACACACACACACACACACACACACACACACACACAGAGACACCCTTAATGACACACTGACGCACAAGGCTGTTACAGTATCCCTGCTTCGCCACCTGCCCCAGACCGGCAGGCAGCTGATCCGTCAAACTGGCCTTAAATCCGCAGCAGAGTGGAAACACCATGAGTCACAGCCACAAAGAGCAGCTCTCCTTGGCTGACAGGTCCCTGGTCAACTCTGTTCAATTCAGGCAATCAGAGACACCCATCATCTTCTGGGTGGATTGTTCATGCATTATATTTCCATGAATTGACTGGAATTGAATTCGGGTAGACCTGGAAGACAGACTGTAGTGAGTGGCTGTTTCTGCTCATTGACCCCTGCCATACACTCATTCGGTATAAACTCAACTTCACACACACACTTTTCTTGTAGGAACACACACAGCCACAGATAGTATGAACTCACTCGCTCTCTCTGTCACACACATGAACACTCCTTCAGTATATACTACACTCACACAGACACACACACTCATGTTGAGCCCCGGTGCCTCTGTCTGCTCAGCCAGGACTTCAGATCTGAGAGTACGGGCGATTATCCACATCATTAATTCTCCAATTTGCTGGCCGTGCCTCAGCCTGCTGCCCCCTGATAATGGACCTGCTCTTTCCACACACTGACCAATGTCCTGGTTAATTAATAGACCCCTGGAACCGAGGTGTCAACTCACTGACAAACCTATAAACCCACCTATCCCCTTGCAAACTCATCACTCCTGGAGCTAGGGGGAGACAAGGAGAGAGATGTCATATCTTAGTCAGTGCTTAGTCAAATATTACATGTGATGGTACCGCCAATTAATTTAAAATGATTGCATGACACAGGTCTCGTTAATAAGGAAATGTCTCAAAATCAATCTAATAACCTAGCTCTTTATGGTACAGCTTTCCACTCTACCAACTGTGTCGCATGACCCAGGTGTTATCGTTTACCCATTAAGGATCAGTTAGTGGCATTGAACGTTTTGTTTTATCTTGTTTTAAAGGACAGTTGAAAGCGACACGGAGCAAAATGGTGGATGCAGCATGTTTTTTATTTGGGGGGGAAAGGGAGAGAAAGGGAGCCCATTGTGTTTTAAATGTAATTGTCTCTGCTTCACGCTCAAGGAATCTAAAGAGTAGAGAGAGAGGGGGCAGCTGGTGGGCAGCCCACCATGCTATCTCCCACAGCCCACCATGCTATTGCTAACGTGGCAATGCCATGCTGTAGTGTTGACATCAAAAATATAATTTCCCCCTCCCCGGAAAAGAGCCAAATAACATATTGGTCCATATTATCAGGCAGGTGTGCTATTTAGTCCCGTGTAGCTCAGTTGGTAGAGCATGGCGCTTGCAATGCCAGGGTTGTGGGTTCGATTCCCATGGGGGGCCAGTATGAAAATGTATGCACTCACTAACTGTAAGTCGCTCTGGATAAGAGCGTCTGCTAAATGACTAAAATGTAAAATTTAGCAATAAAAGGTGGAGCCCACCTGATGCAGCATAGTCACTATAAATAAATAGGCTGAGGGTTGACCATCTGCATTTACCCTATTGGGCTACATTTACATTTACATTTTAGTCATTTAGCAGATGCTCTTATCCAGAGCGACTTACAGTTAGTGAGTGCATACATTATTTTTATTTTTCATACTGGCCCCCCGTGGGAATCGAACCCACAACCCTGGCGTTGCAAACGCCATGCTCTACCAACTGAGCTACATCCCTGCCGGCCATTCCCTCCCCTACCCTGGACAACGCTGGGCCAATTGTGCGCCGCCCCATGGGTCTCACGGTCGCAGCCGGCTACGACAGAGCCTGGATTCGAACCAGGATCTCTAGTGGCACAGCTAGCACTGCGATGCAGTGCCTTAGACCACTGCATCGCTACACGAATCATTAGCTAGATCACAAAGTCTAAAGGATTGAAATAAACCCAACCCAAGGGAAACTGTTACGGTACCCTTCATTCCATGACATACAATTTTTTCCTATCATCTCGCAAATCGCCGTTTTGTACGAGACTGACTTTAAGACCAAAATGTTGACTCATATCGATGCCACATAGGCCATTTTCAAAAAGAGAAGTTGCTTTTTAGAGGCAGTCGCTCTTTAGAACTCTCTCCGCCCCATGGCAAAATGTGTAGAATTGCAGGAAATTAGATTTAAAATCCAGTCTTAGACTTGACTCTGAAAGGGACACTTACTCCCCAACCCTCCACCAAGACTACACATTAGATATGAGGACTTGCAGTATTAGTGAGCGAGGATGAGGGTGGACATGGGTCCAAATACTGGCCTTTCCACTCTCCCACCATGTCTCCATCTGTCTTTCTCTCTTCTTCTCTCTCTCTTTCCCTTTCTCACCCTCTCTTTCCACTCTTGGTACAGTTTATTTGAATTATAAGGAAGCAGGCAGGTGGTTAATAGTTGACTGAGGTGTTTCCTGCAGATAGGCATGGGCCAACAAGACCGGACAGGTTGAGGGGCGCTGGAGCTGCCGTGGCAGGTCACACTGTTCAACGGGAGAGAGCATGTCGTCACGACTGATTGGATTTCCTACCATATGTTATTTTATTGAGTGATGATGCTGTTTATTGCTGCTGTATTGCTCCTCTGTAGGAAGAGTAAGAAAATGGTCTAGGAACAATGTAATGAAAGCTAGGGTTCTCCCTCCTAGGGAATTCTTGCCATTGTCACCTGTGCGTTTTCATTGTGTGTTTAAGTCTGACACTTTGTGACAAATAGAGGCTATTTGAAAAACTGCAGCCATACAAATGCAATTTGATAAATTGATTGACTGGAACTCTGGTGTTAATCGGATAACTGGGTGATTCTCATGAAACCAGTTTTTAACATGTCTGTAGCAAATTGCGTTACAAAACCATGATGCATCTGCAAAGATCAACCATCATTCTGAGGACTAAGATGTCTAGTTTTTGGAAAAGTGTCTTATTCTAAATACATTTTACATTTTTGACCTTTTCGCCCCAAATTCTCATTACCGAAATGCGTCCGGATTAAATTCTCGGGTAATTTTATACAATTTTACTTAAGAAAAAATGTTATACTAGTTGAAGTTTACATTAAACTATACTATTTATTACATACAAACACAGTCTGTGGACATGTCTCATTACCGTAACACTTTTTCAAGTTCCTGTAAAAACTCCAATCAGTTTTTAAAAAAAAGTTTGATTCACCCATGATGCATAATCTAGAGGAGTTGTAGAAGTGAAGTTAATTTATTCGCTTCTATGCCTTCAGAATGAGGTTCTTATTCTCAAACACCCCATTTTACCCCACTTGGCCTTCTCATTACTGAAATGGCTAAAAAGCTCAAATTGGGAAAAAGTCTGATTTAATTTTATAATACAATTTTAAATATTTGTATTTTCAGTGTTACGTTTAACTCAGGCCTTTTCATTAGGGGAGCAATGTTAAAAAATGACACTTGAGAATTTTTGGATCAAATGTCAGTTTTGTGAGAACGACCCAACTGTATTTCCATAAGAGAGTCGCCACAAAAGCTGTCACTCACACACCCAGAGGATCACCTGTGTGCATGTGTTACAGGGTTAGCAGCACGGGATAGCCAATAACAGACCACTCCAAAGAACCAATTAGGGTTTGACGCTCAGTGTCAAAGAGCCTATGACATCAATCCATTTCTCAGTGCAAAATGTAGTTACACAATGTATGTCGGCAAGATTGGGGGGGAGGGAGGGGGGTTTATACTGACCACTCGTAAAGGGGAGGGGGCTGGAAGCTACTGGAGGGAGAAGCTACCCTGAGGAGAGGTGAGAAAGGGGCGCTTTTTCGGGGTTTGTTTTGTTTAGAATTCCTCAAGCACAACTACAAAGATGTTGCAGGGGCAATGCCTTTGAAAGTTTCCAAAGAAAATGATTGTTGGATAAACCGGCCCGATTCGCCACTTTCTCACCCCGGAGGGAGGCTGACCTCTGACCTCTAGTATCAAAGTACAGGGAGACGCCCCCTCCAGCCCCCCCCCCCCACTCCAATTTCACCCCCACTGCTCTGCCGCACTCAACCGCAAGAAAAAGCCTGAAATTCATGTCTTTCTCTTTCGTCTCTCTCAGGCTGGGTCTGTGGCTCAGGAGTCAAGAATTCAATTAGTTAAAAAAAGAGAAGAAAAGAGAGAGGCTGCAACAATGCAGCGATAAGGGGCAGAATGTGCGTTCCCACACGCTAAATACAGGGCGCTTTCTCTGGGGCCCACAGAGCCGGAGGACCCGCACTGCAGGAGGCAAGAATAATCACAGCTCCGCTGAACCACTCATTACACACACACACACACACACACACCTGACACCCACATTCCACAGACATACGGTACCTCAGATTTACACACAGGTACTCCTAAGCTACTTCAAACACACCCATGTGCACACCTCATGCACATACACACACGCATACACACACACACACACACTGCTCAAAGTCATTTTACAGACACATACACATACTAGCACCTCATACATACCTGACAAACACACACATACACACCTCACACAGGCCTCTCATTACACACCACCTCATACAGGTGTTCCTGGGGTTCACTTGCTCTATCTGAGAGACTAGACTTGCGGTTCAATGTACAGAATGGAAACAGCACTACTCGTGGTCTACATCATGGCATACTTTGGGTTAATGATACAACTGCCCAGTCTACATGGGTTGGTATATCGGATTCTGTTATTTCATTAATTAATTGCGTTCTATCAACATTGAAATATCCCTCTTCTCGTTGATGGTCTAGGTTTAATTGATTGTTTGTTGAAAGCATTGACGTTTGTTTTCTCTCTTGCACACAGACATCAATTTGCCAACCTGGTTCAATGGTCAATTGAATGGATGTTAGTTCTATGAACCAGTATCCTAATGACTGTCACTCCTTTCATGTTTCTGAGTGAGAAGAAGATGAGTGACAAGGTCTCTGATCATTCAAGGGAACCGGAGCTGAGCTGACACATACCACAATGAATGAATCCTCATTTGTGTCTGTCTATTGGTCCTCCCTTGCTTAGTTGGTAGAGCATAGCTCAGTTGGTTCGATTTCCGGGACCACCCGGACGTAAAATGTATGCATGCACGATGACTGTAAGTCGCTTTGGATAAAATAGTCTGCTAAATGGCATAGTCTATTGTTGTAAAACATTATAGAAATCCACTATACTAATAATCGGCATCATCTGAACTTTAATGTTTAGCTGTTGTTAGTTGGAGGATAGCCGTTAGTATAGCGAGACTGGATGGTGTTTTGTGTTTTCAATACATGGTGGCGAGCCGTTCTGTTCCGTTCCAGCCGGCTGAGCAGAGCAGCGCAGAGGGGTTGTGTGTGGAATGTCCTGGTGCTGTCCTGGTGACCTCAGACAGAGGGGACACAAACAGAAGCCAAAAGGGCCAAGAGGGGGGTATGGGAGTTGGGGGGGCATAGGGGGGCTTTTGGAGAGCAGAGGGGGGTGTGGTGTAGGGTGGGTCTGGGCGAGCCCCTGCCATTGTCCCCCTCCCGGCTGATATAAAAGCATCATAACCCTTTGAGCTCAGACATATTTAGAGAGCAGATAAAAGCACTTTTTACAAACTAGATACACGGCGGGCACAAAGCCGGGGGTCAAGCGCAACAAATTAACAACCTCTTTTGCCTAGAGGGGGGGAGGAGGGAGGAGGAGGGGGGCAGGGGGCATAGCTAAATCGCCCCTGGAGTCCATCGCCATGCCTCTACATTCCCAGCGCCTGCATGGGTCTGGGTTCATCTCTGCTATTTAGCCTATTCTTCTGTAATTGGCTGGGGCTTAGTTTAGATAAATGGTGACTTACTTGTTTTGTTTGGAGTATTCTTTTTCATGCGATAGGTTTGGGTGGGATTCTTTGAATTTCACGAAAGTGGTGCCAATCCTTTACATCTTTGGCAATGGTGAAAGGATTGGAGTCAGGTCAAATGTAACATTTTATTTTGTCAGATAGCCACATATCCCATTTTAAGCAGTAAGCTTCACTTTTTTGTATTTTGAAATAAGCTTCACTTTTCTATTTTGCCATAAGCTACAATAGTGCCAAGGAGAAATTAAACTAACAGTGTGTATCTGTTTCCCTTGTCTCTCAGAAGAATAAACATTGCAAGACTGGAGTGTAGTTGTTCCATTTGGTGACATACAGCTGTTTAGGTAGTAAGCTGAAAGTCCTACACATGGAAATTGTATACTTTTGTAGTGACTAGTGATGCAAGCCAAATGCTAAAGCCACACTGGTGGCTTAGAATGTGCAGCCCGACACCAAAGAACACCACTAACCCACAGAACTGTAGAATGAACATATCATTAGAACACTGAGTCAAATGCTGCTTCCTAAGTCCATACATTTACTTTATGGTGTTTATGACACAAAATGTACTTTAAGCATTTTTATGTGTTTGACTTTCAGACATGTAAGATGTTACTTTTTTATTTCTAAGGAAAAAAATCGGAGTATCCTCTTAACTGAGAAATAATTCTCATAACATTTAATTTGTTTGAATAGATTCCTAGACCAGGCTGTTGTTCAGTTCTTTGTTAGGAAACTAAAAGTGATTTTGGGACTGAGAATTGGGATGGGTTAACAGAAGTGGAGCGTTTGCGGTGGTCTTGGGAAAGCGTGGAGCGCCTTGTGCGGTCAGCTTGTTGATTTGGAGCTAACAATGTTGGTACTGTTGGGCTCGTCTCCCAGCAGGGGCTCAGTGTGCGTGTGCACGTGCTCGTGCCTCTGTGTTTCTGTCTGTGTGTAATTATGTGTGTGCTTGTCTGCTTATGTGTGATATTGTGTGTGTGTGTGTGTGTGTGTTAGTTTGGCTGGGTTCCCAATGGGAGCTGAGTTAGTTTGTGTGACCCTGCCACACAGCCCCTTAGATAATGCAGCCAGCTGATGAGGTTACCCAAACGCAGCAGAGGCCCAGCATGTCCTTATAATGAGGAGTGGACTGGGAAGGAGAGGGAGAAGGGTGGGGGGGCTACAGAGATGGGGATGCGCTATGTGACGATTTCAGGATGGGGTGGTAGTAGCATCTCAGGGAGGTGATTGGGGGTGAGGGGTTTTAGGGAGGGGGCACCTGTCCCACATCAGGCGAGAGAGGCTTTGACCTTAGCAGCTATAATATCAGTGAGTGATCTGACCCTAGATCAGGCCAGTGCTCGAGGGGACAGAACCGGTTCATTGTATGTCTGTGCTGTGTCCCCCCTTCCTCCCTCAGCAGAGCAGAGCCCAGTGAGGGGTGAGTAATGTGAGTAATGGAGAGTAATAAGGGCCAGGCAGCGAGTGTGACCTTAACCCTATTGTATCCTGTGTCACCAGGGGTCAGAGGTCATACTCGCTGAGGGCCTGCCGCCCTGATTGGACCAAATGAGTTTACCCAACACTAATTAACGGGGGCTTCGCTAACGGGCCTCTCCGCTTAACGGGCCTGACAGCTGCCCCTGTGCCTCAGTACACCCCTCCTGTGCCCCGCTCACGCCCCTCGTTACCCCTGTCTCAACGCCAAAGCGCCTCCACGCCACCCTTACCCCATTGCCAACCCACCCAGCCGTCAGAGGAAGAAACGCCAACCAAACCACCCACCACTGCTTCAACACAGTTATCTATCTCTGTGCTTCTCTCTGGCTAGTCTATTCCTCTGTTTTTCATTTGCGATCTGCCGTGTTTGCTTGAGATTGTGTGCGAAAGCAGTTGATACTGAAACTGTGAAGTAAAATGGAAAAATAGTAAATGAATAAGTGGTACAAAATAAATAAAAAAGATAATCAAATGGTGGTTGTGCCCCAGGGTGTGCTGGACCTCCCCCTGTCAGTCAAATCTGCAGGAGGCCCTAAGCCTGAGACCAGGGCAGAGCCCAACAGAAGCCCCCCTACTGCCCCTCTCCCCTTGGGTCCACCCCACCCTCTACACAGACCCTACTACACCCCTCCACCCCGTCCTCTCCTCTCCGTTCACCCCTGTCCCTCCCATGCATCACCATGCATACCTAGGCCACTACTTCCGACCTGTCAGTCCAATCAAAGGAGCACAAGTGTTTTAGTTTCTCCTCTTTTCTTCTTCCCCACTGAAACAATAAATGTGTGTCTCTGACCGGAGACTGTTGAGGGTGTCACACTTTAGCTTTGCTGTTTGAGGTGTCTCAGTATTCCCAGTTTTCCTAAACGTTCCTCTGTTGTCTCATCCACAGCTCCTTTGTGACCGGCACGGCCTGCTGTGAGAACTTCTCTCCTCTGCGGATCTGGGATGTTGAAAGGTAACTAACTACACAACACACACACAGATACACACTCCACTGACCCTCATCCTCCACCAGTAGTATTCCTACCAACCCACTTCTTTCCAACCCAAGTATTCCAAGACCTCCCATCCTAGCCCATCTGTCAGTATAACTGATCACGGCAGTGAAAGTGGAACCTGGCTGTAATGATAGTTGTTGTTTCATCAACCCGTCTAAAAGCCTTTGCTTTGGGAAGTTCAAAGGGGGGCTGGGAGAATTCCTTGCACTGAAAGCCCAAGCTTAAACCTGATACAGCCCTGACAGGCCGCTGTAATTCCCAGCTTTACCTGCCGAATTAAACCTTCTGTCACGTCCCGGGCTGGACAGAGAAAGGCGCTTCCTGCTCCAAATGACATGGACATTTGAGCTGGGGAAACAGGGGGGAAGGGAGGGGTTATTTGTGCGTTGCAGGTGTTCCGAAAATATATTGACACAGTTACAATGTGTACCAGTGCTCGTTCTTGCTAGAAAACATTAACAACATGCTCTTGTGTAGTATGTACATGTAGTATAGTATTCAGGTATTGTTGTTTTGTGTTTTTTTCTCAGCTTAGGAGTAAATATTTTAAATCCCAGTCCTGTAAAATTGGATATCTTTACTGTAGTATGATGATTGGCACCAGTGGCCTGGCTGATCTGTTTTCCCCCATTGTGACTTCATGTCTGGTAATCAGCTGAGGTAAACAAAGTAGTCTGGGAGACGACAGGGCACATACTGTACACCGATAAGGGCATGGTGAGGGTTATGGGGGCACTCTGTGTATCTGTAACTGTCTCTTATTTCCCATATCTCAGATGCACACACACACACACACACAGCACCCCCCCAGACCATGACAATCCCCCCCCACACATAGAAAACACATTCAACCTCTCCAGACCCACCACCATCACGATCCACCCCCCTCCACCCCAACCTAAGACTACCAGCAGCAGCCCAACCCTGTGCATTAGTGTGACCACACTCCCTTTGACAGCAGACACATCAGAGAGAAAAGATCACAACCAAGACACTGTTACACCTGCAGCACCAAACATAGCTAGTAAAGCAGCTGAATGCATCAGGATCTGAACAAGACAGGAACCACAACATATTGCTGATTCCAGGAATGACTTGTCATCCGATGGTGGAAAATAGTGGCACAGGATGTGACTGAGATCAAAGATGCTGATGCTCAAGTCATGGACTGCCACTTTCTTTAAGAAAAGAGGTGGAGAAATATAGATGGAGAGAAAGGGAGAAAAAAGGTGAGAGGAAAGGGGACAGAGGAGAGAGGGAGACTGGGGGAGGAAGAGAGGTAGTTCTGTGTTCTGTCTATTACAATGGTAGGTATGATTTATGTGATTCATCTAGTTTCACAAAACAACAATTTTACTATTTTTATTATTTTTCTAGAAATCGTGACCTGAATGAAGCATGTCCTTGTTTTATGACAGACCTGTCGTCATTCTATAACAGGCTCATTAAAAATCAGTTGCTCTTTGTTGACCCTTCTAAGTGTTGCCATGTAAAACCTTCCCACTTATGTGGGGCAAAGGAACCTTAACCATTCACCCATTGTGGCTTTAATTTTAATTTAACACATTTATTTTCTCTCCCATTGCAATTAATTCTGTGTCTTTTTCATCTCGATGGCACAAAGCCTATGATCACCCATACAGAAGGATCCCACACAAGTGGCGTTTTCGAGCGCACCCCAACTTTTCATGGTGCCTTCGCTCATGGATAAACAGGAAAAAAAGCATCAAAGAACCCCAACCATCGCTCCAAGATTCCGTCAAAGGGTCCCCAAATTTGCCTGGCAGATTCCTGGCATTCCGCTCTGAAAAGCGGAGTTTAAATGTCTGCGTTGGGAGTTTGCTCTGTTATACAAATTGCATGGGCATTGTTTTTGGAGAGAACGCGTATGACATTTAAAGGTGGCCATTGTTCCGTCCGTACATTCCTGCCCAGTTCTGTGTCCCGCGGTTCTCCCAGCTCCGGGGCTAAATTAGGTGGACGTGCAGCGGGTTGCGTGGCTCCCTGAGTCCCCACTGTTTTTTTAGGGTCTGAAAACCCCAGCAGGACTCTTTCTCTACCTGTCTGACATCCTTTCAGAGGAGTTTCCCAGGGCGGACGTCCCCAGGCCCAGTTTAGACTCCAGACTTAACCTTACAAGAGCTCCCCCACCCATACTGCTTTTCTATAGCCCCCCGACACCAAGAGAGAATGCCCTTAGCTTCTCCTGTTTAAAAGTCTGTCAATTCATTAATGGTTCCTTTCACAAACTGGGTGGGTGTATGTGTGCGAGTGTGTGTGGCCCGAAAGCCAACCTGACTCCTGCAGTGAGACCAGACAGGCTTAAATCAGGACTGACTAATACTCCCTGTGTATCACAGACAGTCACTACTCTCATAACAGTCAGTCAGTCCCCCCTATGGCGGATAGTCAACTCACCTTCCAAAATCAATTCAGTGTTGGGCTTCATTTATCTCAAATCCTCACTATTTATTAACAGCAAACCAGGGCATTCAATATTTTATTTCAGTCGAATTTCAGTTAATTTCCTCAATTGACTGGGAATGTGATTCGTCTCATGTCAACCCCATATCACAGCTAGTTAAGTCCCACATTCTGGCTCATCCAGGGTCAGTAGCACTAGCTACTCTGAAGTTTGAGGGGGGTCACAGTCACAGAACGTTCCCACTCTCCACTCTCTGGGGTATACTGGCCATGTGATCTATTTTGCAGGTTTCACGTCTCCAAGTAAGGGTCTCCAAGTGACCCTTACTTGTCCAAACCCCGTCCAAATTGTAGACATCACCCTTGGCGACATGCAATCATTTGCTCCTTTTTTTGTTTAGCACTTGCACCTTTTGTATTTTCTCGAGCATGGATTAAATTAACTATATTTTTGCATCTCGGCCTCCTTGAGTTTTTCCTTTTCATGGTTTGAGTGCAAGTACCTTTTCTGTACAGATATTTTTTCTCTCACGCACCAGCCACCATTCATCCTAGGCTGAACGCAAACCCTCATACTGGCGTTCGACATGCAATCAGCAACAGAATTGTAACTAACTTGTAGTAAATAGGACCTGTTTTTATGGATCTAGTAGCATCTTTAAATAAAACAAATTATATACCACTTTCTGGTGTATGATGGAGTCCTAGCTACAGTGGCTTGCGAAAGTATTCACCCCCCCTTGACATTTTTCCTATTTTGTTGCCTTACAACCTGGAATTAAAATATAGATTTTTGGGGGGGTTTGTATCATTTGATTTACACAACATGCCTACCACTTTGAAGATGCAAAATATATTTTTTTGTGAAACAAACAAGAAATAAGACAAAAAAACTGAACTTGAGCGTGCATAATTCACGCCCCCCAAAGTCAATACTTTGAGCCACCTTTTGCAGCAATTACAGCTGCAAGTCTCTTGGGGTATGTCACTATAAGCCACTGGGATTTTTGCCCATTCTTCAAGGCAAAACTGCTCCAGCTCCTTCAAGTTGGATGGGTTCCGCTGGTGTACAGCAATCTTTAAGTCATACCACAGATTCTCAATTGGATTGAGGTCTGGGCTTTGACTAGGCCATTCCAAGACATTTAAATGTTTCCCCTTAAACCACTCAAGTGTTGCTTTAGCAGTATGCTTAGGGTCATTGTCCTGCTGGAAGGTGAACCTCCGTCCCAGTCTCAAATCTCTGGAAGACTGAAACAGGTTTCCCTCAAGAATTTCCCTGTATTTAGCGCCATCCATAATTCCTTCAATTCTGACCAGTTTCCCAGTCCCTGCCAATGAAAAACATCCCCACAGCATGATGCTGCCACCACCATGCTTCACTGTGGGGATGGTGTTCTCGGGGTGATGAGAGCTGTTGGGTTTGCGCCAGACATAGTGTTTTCCTTGATTGCCAAAAAGCTCAATTTTAGTCTCATCTGACCAGAGTACCTTCTTCCATATGTTTGGGGAGTCTCCCACATGCCTTTTGGCGAACACCAAACGTGTTTGCTTATTTTTTTCTTTAAGCAACGGCTTTTTTCTGGCCACTCTTCCGTAATGCCCAGCTCTGTGGAGTGTATGGCTTAAAGTGGTCCTATGGACAGAGACTCCAATCTCTGCTGTGGAGCTTTGCAGCTCCTTCAGGGTTATCTTTGGTCTCTTTGTTGCCTTTCTGATTAATGCCCTCCTTGCCTGGTCTGTGAGTTTTGGTGGGCGGCCCTCTCTTGGCAGGTTTGTTGTGGTGCCATATTCTTTCAATTTTTTAATAATGGATTTAATGGTGCTCCGTGGGTTGTTCAAAGTTTCTGATATTATTTTACAACCCAACCCTGATCTGTACTTCTCCACAACTTTGTCCCTGACCTGTTTGGTGAGCTCCTTGGTCTTCATGGTGCCACTTGCTTGATGGTGCCCCTTGCTTAGTGGTGTTGCAGACTCTGGGGCCTTTCAGAACAGGTGTATATATACTGAGATCATGTGACACTTAAATTGCACACAGGTGGACTTTATTGAACTAATTATGTGACTTCTGAAGGTAATTGGTTGCACCAGATCCTATTTAGGGGCTTTATAGCAAAGAGGGTGAATACATATGCACGCACCACTTTTCTGTTATTAATTTTTTAGAATTTGGAAACAAGTACGTTTTTTCATTTCACTTCACCAATTTGGACTATTTTGTCCATTACATGAAATCCAAATAAAAATCCATTTAAATTACAGGTTGTAATGCAACAAAATAGGAAAAACGCCAAGGGGGATGAATACTTTTGCAAGGCACTGTATTCTACAGTGACTCTAACATGTGACGGTAATGACTCATCCCTTTGATTTCACAGACTCAAGAATGTGACAGGCTACATTTGGACAGACTATGTGACGGTAACGACTCGTCAGGGTTATTTCATAGACTCAGCCATGTAACTTTCCACTCAGGCATGCTTTGGGCCAGACTCAAGTATGTGATGGTGTGGACACAGACATGAGATGGTCAGATCACACAATCAAGCCGCAGCTCAAAGGCAAGCGGCAGCCGCACTAGCAGATACAGTCATTCTGACAGATTATATGGTTATGCTCCGTCCTGTAATCTTCCTGAGGCTCATAAAAGTGGTGACCTAACAATTTGAGAATCCCGGCTGTTTCGCTGCTCGCCATCCACCGCACAGTGCTATTATGGCTTTAAGATCTTGACACAGATGTGAAGACTGCTTTTGGTGTTTGACATTTTCAGAGGGCCACGAAGACCTTCAACGCAATCATCTCAATTGTGTTTGTCTGTGAGACATTGTATTTAGGTTATGACTTGATTGGCCTATTGCCTTGTGGGTTGAGTGGCGGAGGGGCTGTCTATAAGACACATTTGAGTTATGAGTCAATTATTCACGTGTGGCTTGAGTGGTATAGGTGTTCTTTGTCCGGCATGCGTTAAGCCCTGGGTTTTAGCAGTAAAAAGAAAATGAGGGGTCGGTACCCCCACACAGACACATATCCCAGAGAGAGAGCCTCATCACGGACTCCCCATTGGCCAGGCTTAGACCCCAGCTCTGAGAAAGCTCTCATCCAATAAGACGCCCCATGGGGAAAGCCCTCGTCCAATAAGATGGCCCCCTGGGGGGAGGCTGGCGGATTACTAGTCTGCCCCTGGTGTTTGGAGCAGTGGGGGCACGAGCGAGAAGGGGGAGGGAGTGCGGTCACCAGGGCCAGCGGCCTCCTTTAAATGGTTGCTAGGGAGCAGGTATCAAAGGTCTGCGAGTAGCACACAGTCACGGTCATGGAGGGAATTAAACCGCAACAAAGAGACAGTTATTCTGCAATAATCCGCCCTGCGGAGGGAAAGTTATTCTCCAATAATCAGAGCCGCCGAGTGGGCAGCCAACGGAGGACTGTTATCACAAGAGCATGGTACTGCTCATACACACACCTTACACATCCTTTGTGCACTCATACACCACGCTGTCTTCTCTTTCTCTCTCTCTCTCTCTCACACTCTCACACACACACACACACACACACACACACACTCACACACACACACACCTCTCCATCCCTCACGGTGTTGTAGCATGGGGGGATCCCTGTAATCGGTCGCAGAGCCCTCTCCCAGATAGAGAGGTGTTGACTTTGATCTCCTCTGGGTGGTCTGGAGCCAGTGGGATTGGGAATATAGAGATGGAGAGATAGAGAGAGAGAGAGAGAGAGAGAGGTGGTATATGGGAATATAAAGACACACAGAGAGCTTAGGGGTGAATCAAGGATCAACTATAAAGACTGAGACAGGTGAAAATAGTGTTTTCTTCATCTCATCGTGGGTTAAGATGAGTTATACCTTACATCAATGAGTAGGGGCTCCATTGATTGTTCATGGTTGCTTAGGGGTGTAAGTGAACACTGCACATCCTCATTTTAAGCACTAAATACATCCTGTATTGGACATATTAGTAGCCAGCAGGCATTTTATAGTATTGATACAGAGGGTAACATGCCTGTGATCTTAGGTGCAGAACTTCTCCTGAACTGTCTCTGTCTTCATCTTTCTTCTTCTTACTTTCTCTCTATTTCTCCCTCATCCCTCTCTCTGTCTCTCAGGTGTGAGTTGCTGTGTTGTCTGGGTTCAGAGTTCCGGCGGGGTGCAGGTGTGTTGGATATAGTCTATGAGTCGCCCTTCCAGCTGCTCACCTGTGGCTACGATACCTACATCCGCTTCTGGGACCTCCGCCTCAGCCCCAGGTACACCGTCAATCAGTCAGCTGTCAGTCTGTCAGTCAGTTAGTCCATATATTAAGCTGTCAATCAATCATTTGTTCATATTTATGTATAAATTGTCTAAATGTAAATTCCAGCCAAGCATTATGATTGGCAGAGAGGCGTTCTGAGCCATACCAAAACAAGAATAACATCACGGCTACAGCATACACCTCTACACACACATGTGCTATGAGTCAACACAGCACACATAACAGCACTAGCAACACAGTCCAATCATTCCCCTCCCCTCCATCTTCCAAAAAGAAAGAGCACAGTATGTCCCTACCCAGTCCAATCTGGGCGGTGCCAGAATGATGCAGACCCTTGCACATTTCCACGACAAACCAAGCGGGGTCCTGCTATCAGAGGGGAGGGTGCCTTTTTATTTGGGTGCGGTGGGGGTGGGGGGGATCAGTCAAGTAACACAAATAAGAGCTGATTGTCAGTTAGCTCTGGGGAGTTGAGCAGGGGGTTGGCTGGGAGGGGGGGGTCCCTCTTTAGACATCAATAATTCACACACACAGCACCCCCAGGAGGCTCCCTGGGACAGTGAGGAGGTGCAGGGTGTCTGGACCTTGGGTTCCCGCTGAAAGCAGGACTTTGAGTCCCGCAGACGCCTCGAGTGTAACTGACCAGCGGACAACAACACATGCCCGACATACACACACACACACACTTCGTTCTCTGTCTGATATACAGTGTTGTCTTGGTGTTGTAAAGCACCTGTCTCTTGTTATGGGTTTATGTTGTGTAGTGTTGTTGGGATGTACGTTGTGTCTTTTATCAGGTTGATCTATCATCTCATGGTCTTGTTGAATATGTGAGTTTTGTGTGTTGGGTTGTTTCATCATATTTTTGGTGTTGTTTCTTTATGTTTATAGTATGGCTTTTTGTAATTGGGTCATGGCAAATAGTTTTCTCATGTGATGTGGTATTGTTTTATTTAGTTATGTAGAGGTGTCTGTTTTTGTGTCGTGGCTATGACATTCTCTGGGTGAGATGGTCAGTGTGTATGCATTCTGTTCGCAAACTGTTGCATTCTCACCTCGTCCGACTAACCACACACCACGTCAGCTGTAGGTTTGGCACTCTTGTCTCAAATTGTCCCAGAATAACACACTCAGAGAAACCGACACAGCTCAAACTCTCTCAGACACACAATATTATTTTACTGCTTTACCTTAAATGCCAAGACAGGCAAAGTAGTGTTGTGATGGGGACACTCCTTTGAGTCTGGTCGAATCAGAGCTATATTTGCCTATATCTGGTGTCTCTCAACCATTTAGGACACACTAGCTAGGTTTCCATCCAATTTGCGACAGCTTTTCATGTGAATATTCTAAAATCCGCAGTAAAAGAAGATGTGCATTTTCCCACCAGAAGTGTTTCCATCAAATTGACTTGTTGCGGATAAAAAGCTGTGCGTGATGATGTAGTGCACATGAAAAGCACTTTTGCGAATGAAAATCAGAAGTTAATTGTGTTTCCATTGCATTTTCAACTCTACTGATGGCTTTTCAGAAAAACTGTTGATAAATGGCAAACTTGCCCAATCTGTTTTTGGCGTATGCTTTCTAGTCTAGACAACTGTTCGCTGATAAAGTTGACAGGGTAGGTTATATGATAAGATAACTTTTATTTGATAATGTTAGCCCAGCATAGCACCGATCATCATGTCACCAGCATTCAAATAATACCCTCGATATTTATTGGAAATTTGCATGAAGCTCATCACACACTTATAACCACGATGTGAAGTTCATCATAACTTATTTAATCTGCCTATAAACTCTTCATGCATTTCCACGTCGTGGTGGGCTATAGGCTACAATATAACATATCAAGTTTTCTTTGGCATTATGGTTATTATATCAATAGTTGCGCATGACAGCGTTTCCACCGCAATTGTCACAGAATTTATTTGTCTAGCGTATTTTTTCAGGTTATCATTAGGAGATTTTGCAGACAAATTAGCTGTTTCCATCAGGTCTGTCGTGAGTTTTTAAATGTGTCAGGTAATTAATTCGCATTAATTGGTTGGATGGAAACCTGGTTAATTACAGTGAATTGAGCATGCGCTCATTGGAGTGTGTGTGTGTGTGTGTGAGACTCCAGACATCTCTGCTGTCTGCTCCCGGTCCCTGTGCATCACTTATTCATGAGGCTCTAATGGAGGATTGATCTCTATTGGCAGAACCCCCAAAATACAGTGAGCGGAAAAAAGTATTTGATCCCCTGCTGATTTTGTACGTTTGCCCACTGACAAAGAAATGATCTGTCTATAATTTTTATGGTAGGTTTATTTGAACAGTGAGAGACAGAATAACAACAAAATATTCCAGAAAAAAAGCATGTCAAAAATCGTATAAATTCATTTGCATTTTAATGAGGGAAATAAGTATTTGACCCCCTCTCAATCAGAAACATTTCTGGCTCCCAGGTGTCTTTTATACAGGTAACGAGCTGAGATTAGGAGCACACTCTTAAAGGGAGTGCTCCTAATCGCAGCTTGTTACCTGTATAAAAGACACCTGTCCACAGAAGCAAACAATCAATCAGATTCCAAACTCTCCACCATGGCCAAGACCAAAGAGCTCTCCAAGGATGTCAGGGACAAGATTGTAGACCTACACAAGGCTGGAATGGGCTACAAGACCATCGCCAAGCAGCTTGGAGAGAAGGTGACAACAGTTGGTGCGATTATTCGCAAATGGAAGAAACACAAAATAACTGTCAATCTCCCTCGGCCTGGGGCTCCATGCAAGATCTCACCTTGTGGAGTTGCAATGATCATGAGAACGGTGTGGAATCAGCCCAGAACTACACGGGAGGATCTTGTCAATGATCTCAAGGCATCTGGGACCATAGTCACCAAGAAAACAATTGGTAACACACTACGCCGTGAAGGACTGAAATCCTGCAGCGCCCGCAAGGTCCCCCTGCTCAAGAAAGCACATATAGAGGCCTGTCTAAAGTTTGCCAATGAACATCTGAATGATTAAGAGGAGAACTGGGTGGAAGTGTTGTGGTCAGATGAGACCAAAATCGAGCTCTTTGGCATCAACTCAACTCGCCGTGTTTGGAGGAGGAGGAATGCTGCCTATGACCCCAAGAACACCATCCCTACCGTCAAACATGGAGGTGGAAACATTATGCTTTGGGGGTGTTTTTCTGCTAAGGGGACAGGACAACTTCACCGCATCAAAGGGACGATGGACGGGGCCATGTACCGTCAAATCTTGGGTGAGAACCTCCTTCCCTCAGCCAGGTCATTGAAAATTGGTCGTGGTGGGTATTCCAGCATGACAATGTCCCAAAACACACGGCCAAGGCAACAAAGGAGTGGCTCAAGAAGAAGCACATTAAGGTCCTGGAGTGGCCTAGCCATTCTCCAGACCTTAATCCCATAGAAAATCTGTGGAGGGAGCTGAAGGTTCGAGTTGCCAAACGTCAGCCTCGAAACCTTAATGACTTGGAGAAGATCTGCAAAGAGGAGTGGGACAAAATCCCTCCTGAGATGTGTGCAAACCTGGTGGCCAACTACAAGAAATGTCTGACCTCTGTGATTGCCAACAAGGGTTTTGCCACCAAGTACTAAGTCATGTTTTGCAGAGGGGTCAAATACTTATTTCCTTCATTAAAATGCAAATCAATTTATAACATTTTTGACATGCGTTTTTATGGATTTTTTTGTTGTTATTCTGTCTCTCACTGTTCAAATAAACCTACCATTAAAATTATAGACTGATCATGTCTTTGTCAGTGGGCAAACATACAAAAATCAGCAGGGGATCAAATACTTTTTTCCCTCACTGTACTTCCCCTACCACCACCTCCTTCCCCACTGCAAACCCAACCAGCACTCCAACACCCCAGCGCCTTTCCGTAAACAACAGATGAAGTTTCAGCATCCTCACAAAACACACGCCAACATACAAAATGTAACTTCCTCATAACATACACACATTCATTTGCCTTCTTTAAAATTCTTCAGAGTACACTCTCTCGTAAATCCAGTCACACTGCACAGTGATGCAGTGGGCCTTTTTACTGTAGATCATCAAAGTTATTTGAACAAAATGAGTGCTGTAATGCTGTCATTTTGGACTATTTCAGCTGCTGCAATTAATTGTATTTCAAGTGAAAAAGATGTCTACTTTTTCTCAACATTCTCTGATGTAATTTCCTCCTGTCCAACAGGAAGTGTGTCATGGAGTGGGAGGAGCCTCATGACAGTGCCCTCTACTGCATCCAGACGGACGGGAATCACATGATTGCCAGTGGCTCCTCCTACTATGGCGTCATACGGACGTGGGATAAGCGGCAGACCCGCTGCTTAGAGGTGTGTGTGTGTGGGTGTATAATAACCAAATGTGCGTGGGTGAGTGCCATTTATAACTGTTGTTGTCCTTGCCACAGATGTTCCAGCTGTCCTCTGCTGTGAGTAGCCCAGTGTACTGCCTGCGTTTCAACACCTCTCACCTGTACGCTGCCCTCGCCACAGCACTGCACTCTCTGGACTTCAAACAGGGCCTCCGGCCTCGCAGATAACACCCACTTCCACAGACAGCTGTTGGGATTTAGAAAAATAAATTATATGTTTTTGACAGTAAATGGCTTCATTCTCTGTAATAACTGGAACTCTGAGCTACAAAGACCGTTTGGAATGTCCATGCATGAAATATCAAATATGGGGATACGCCACACTGATACCAACATATAAACCTCTGCCAGGGCAACACAGATCCTGGACTAGAGGGCATGCAAGAACCTGTTGTTACATGACTAATCCAGTGGCCTGCAGGCTCACAGACATACACACCCAGGCTAAAGCTCTAACCTAGATAACTCTTCCATTGAAGAACACACAGGGAGGTGTTTCCACCTTACACTTTGAGTGGCTGTGGGTTCTGTCATTTGCTTTGAGGGGATAAAACCATATTAGCCACTGACAGTAACATAGAAACACAGTGTTTGGGTTTCCATTCATTTGCCCTCAACACCTGTGTTCAGTCAGTTTTATGGATTGAAGTGTTGGACCTTAGAAAATCCACATCTTATAATGTAAGGATTCATTTGATGGACATAGATAAAATATACACACATCTGGCATATCAAAGTTCTAGATGCATATCCAAACCCCACGTACACCTGGCGGTATGTCATTCATTGTAGATAGAAATGCGTCTAATTTGAATTGTCTTCGGATTCATTTGGTCAGTGGGGAGAGATAGATGGGGGTTTATTCTGTGTTGTGCTTGGGGTTGGGTGGGAGGGTGCTTTGGGGATTGGGGTGTGTGCATTTGGCGGGGTTCTGCAGTGAATTCCCGGAGACCCTCCCTGCTGGCCATTAATGGCATATATTAGATCATATGCAAGGTGGGGCAGTCCATTAGCTAATATCACAGTAGCAGATAAGAGGAATGACCATGCTGCGTACAGACATTGCACAACCATGCAGGAGATGTGGCCCCCAGGGACTGTGCAGAGTTGAATTAATCATAACTACCCAGGGAAGGGGCCCCACTAAAGCTGTTCAGTAGTGTGGCCAGTGTTTTATCTGTAACTCAGTGGACTGAAACACTATGTGGAAGGGCTATATACACTAGTTTTGCACTGATGATGTTGATGATGATGATTTTATTGTTTACAATGTTGTCCTTCACCTACTGTGTGGCTTGGTATAAAATGCCTGACCTTGCATGTGTGAGGAAGCACACAGATACTCACACACACTGAGGATGGTGCAGACTGAAGAGCCATCAGGCCACACTACTTGGTACCCGCGATGCAGTGCTATTGTCTGATGTGCTGTCACAAGGTCAACACAGTGACTCACCCAACCCCACCACCCACCGACCCCCCTCTCAGGAAGAGGCTGAAATGAAGACCCCCTGGCGGGACAGAAGTGGTGGAGAGCGGGCTGGGTTGAGGGTCGGACGAAGGGTATTTGTGGTATCCCTTGTCACACCTAAAGAGCCCACACACACCCATATGCACACCACACTCACCTAGCAACACTTGCACACACTATGGGCTCACATACAGACTCAGGAGTGAGTGATGTATGCCTTGCCTGTACCTGCCCCTCTCCCTCAGTAGTGTCAGTTTGGTGGGAATGGATGAGGAGGAGGGGGGTGCAGAGGGCATCTGTACAACCTCTGTCAGTCACACAGGTGATGGAAGTTTACCAGGGAGACAAAGGATTTCACCTCACTCACTCTGCCACAATGCCTTAATTTTTGTGACATCATACTCTGTTACATCATGAATTAGAAAGCTACTGTTGTACAAAGTGTACCACTGTGTAATTTACATCTAAACAATATGATTCCTGTTTCAGACATATATAACATGTCCATTAACAACAATTATTAAATCAATAGTTATTTGTTCTTGTGTTGTCAGGTCTAACGACAACAAAAAACAGGCAAGGATTTTAATGAATGTTAAATGTACCAGTACAAATTGTTAGTAAATGGCTTGTGAAATAAGAAAAGTATGGCTAGCAAAATGCTACATTTAGATACACTCATTAGATTTTGCTAAATGTTCTGCCATTGATGGCTGTTTGTTTAGCAGGATCTCTAAATGAAGAGTCTGAGGCTCAATCTGACATCTAGCAAGTATGAAGAGGACAAACCATCGTGACCTCACTAAAACACAGCCAGCCGAGACACACAGGGTATATTTAGCTGAGGGAACCATATGAAGAGCATCAGGGTGCGTCTGTGGGTTAGTGGCGACCTGCTTTAAGACGTAAATCACACACACACACACACTTGGATCATGCAGTTGATGGATGAGGGAATAAAGTATAGTCTAGTACTGCCACTACCTCGCAGTGGAGCATGACTTGCACTAAATTGCATTAGCTTAATGCCAAAACGTGTTAGCAGATGAGAGCTGATGGAACAAACCAGGCTGTGTGTGTGTGTGTGAAGGAACAATGTTTAACTGTTTTCAACACAATATGATTTGACAAATTAGAATTGTAATTTCCGTACCACTACTGTTACTGCTCCCACTAGATAAACACACAGTAACCCACTGGCACCTGTCTCACAGAGCAATCCACCATCCTTTGACTTTGTTCTCTCTCTCACAATGGATAACCTGTAATTTACACTCAGCACTTAGCAAGACTAGCAGAGTAACATGAGAACATGTGAAGAATCACACAGTGTTTTCTTTGGCCAAGTTCATTGGACTTGAATGGAAGGAATGGCTTCCCTTTCAGAGGAGGTGAGCCCTGTTTCCTTGGGCTCAGGGGGCTGTGGTACAACCACAGAGTGGATCAGATATCAGAGCAATGCTGGGCTGGGCTGAGCATCATAACAGGGTTGAGATTAGTTTTGGGGAGGTGGTTGAACTGTTATAAATGGGCTGGCTGTTAACAGGTTTTTACACTGATTTACCAGTGTGCAGTTAGCATCCAGTTGAATCACATTAAAAAGAAAACCATAGTTTGAATTCTATGACTTTTATACCAATGCTGCCATCTACAGGTGATGAGAGTAAATGCATGCATGACACCACTACCAGAGTTCTCACGTGGGATTCACCTGAATATCAGAAGTTCGAAGAACCAATCATACACGTCTTTCGGAGACAGACAGGTTGAGTGGCGAATGAGGTGACCCGATAAGGAGCCACTCGCCCGCCCTCTGATCATTCTCACCTCTCTTCCTCACGAAGAGTACATCTCTAAGCTCTCCTCAGCACGACTTGATCCATGTTTCTTGCTTAACTCTTCGCATATATGCCGTATAACACCGAGTGCAGGTTGTTCAGCTCTCGTCTTCGGTGCCGGGTGACTTTACCGAAAGGAACGTTTTCACTTCGGGAAAGAATTAGCTTTTTCGCTTTTTCTTCCCTTTGTCTCATGTGGTAGCTAGTGTCACACGGCTAGCTACTGAGACTTTGCTAGCTTAGCTGCAAGGCTTAGCTAACCTGGCTAGTTCGCCGCAAAGCTGGCTATCCTACCGACAAGCTTTTCTACCTGGAAGGGTAGAATTACTAGTTTGCTCTCTCGTTTAGCTCAACCCACTACCGTGCCGCATTGACTAGACCGACCGTCCTAGCTATACTGCTTATCTGTCGAGAGACACACTTTTGTTTGTTGCAAGACTAACAAAGCACTATCTTCTTTTGGCTAACAGTGTGCTACTAGCTAGGCTACTAGCCCACAAGGTGAATGCTAGTTACATTCACATTGTTAAAGGATTACCTTACTCCTGCTAGCACTGTGCTAACTAGCTAGGCTATTAGCCCACATGGAGAACGCTAGTTAAGTTTCACTTTGTTCTCGGAATAGCTGTTTTTTTGGAGCCATGGAGCCTGCTAGCCTGGCCCAAGGGGTACCGAGTAAGGCAACGGCTCCTGCTCCAGCACCGGCAAATCCATGTCCATGTGGGGCAACCATATCAGGTAAGGACACGCACCCCCTGTGTGCCGTCTGCCTGGGACTCAAACACACGCAAGCAGCATTCTACGACTCCGAGTCATGCGTCCATTGTAAAGACTTTCCAGCTAACACCCTCTGTTGAAGAGTGTGCAGAGCAGCCCGGCTTGATTGGTTTCCTACACTGCCTTCAAACGGGGAGGCTACCTCACAGACCCAGCCCTCATGGGCCGACGTCTTGGATGGCTACCCCGAGGACCTGCACCCAAGCCAACCCTCATGGGCCAACGTCTTGGACGGCTACCCTGAGGACCTTCACCCACTCTTCCAGAGCTTGGCCCCGGAGGAGGGTGAAGGGGACCTCGTCATCGACGAGGACAATGGCGAAGGCATGACTGACGCAATCCATTACCTCTAGGCCCTCTTCCGCCCTTAGCAGGGCATTGATGGTGGATGACAGATATTCGCTCATCAATGTCGACAAACGGGCAGTGGCCAGACTCTGCATTGAGTGGCTCAGGGGGTGGCATCACAGAGAGGGACTGGTACGATGGGTGGAAACTCCCCTCTCACACCATCCCAGGCAAGCAACTCCTCCCAGCCATCCCAGCTTGCGTGGCGGAAGCCAAACGTAACTGGGACAAACCCTTGACTGGTAAAGTCCAAACCAGACTTTTTGCCAACATGAATGTCAAGAACATGGAGGAGCTGGGCCTCGGTAAGTCACTGGTGGTCGAGCTATCACTGGCCAACCACCTCAACCCCAGTGCCTCGTCGCTGACAGGCACTTCCCTCCCTGATAAGACGCATCCATCTACCAAAAGGTCTACTTGTCTACCATATGTTATATATGGCCGTTGAATGTTACGTCCCTACTGCTGGCCAAGACGATTTGATGCTGGAGATGCATAGTCTCCTAGCTATCGGCAAGCGTAACCCAGACCTTTGGGATGAGAACTGTGTCGTCACAGACCTCAACCTCCGAGCCTCCAGAGGTGACATTCAAGGCTGTGCCTTGCATTGGTGGGGGGAGAGAGCCCTGTGGCTCAACTTGTCCAGCCTGTCGGACAGAGAGAAAGCAGATTTCCTTGACGCTCCTGCCGAGCTGAAGGAACTGTTTGGGCCGGCTGTCGCTGCAATGCATCAGAAGTGTTCCATTTTTTAAAAAGGAGGGCCTTCAACTTCTGCCTTCCCCGTAGACCCG